GGTTTACGCCCTGCTAAAAGGTTGGTTGCTTTCTCGTTCCCCTACTAGAGTGCCGATTCGTTCACAAGCGTGAAGACGTGGTATCGCAACCTGGAACGCAACGCACCACCAGGAACCAATCGCATACTGGTTGCCAACAAGTGTGACCAGAAAGACAAGAGAGTGGTGACCACCAGGTACAGTTCCGATATTTCGTGACGTGGTGGCCATACGTGCTTACCTACGGTCTGCACAGGCAAGGTCGCGATCTGGCCGAAGCACTGGACATGGACTACTTTGAAACATCGGCTTCCAGCGGAGAGGGTGTAGAGGCCATGTTCACGGCCATTGCTACGCAGGTCAAGCGACGGGTCATCGACAAAGACAGTGGCAAGATGGCGGAATCCTCCCCCTCATTCGCCCTCCAATCTGAAGATGGGCGAGAAGGCTGTTGTGCCTGATTGTTGTTGTTGTCTTTGTTTGGTTGTACATACGGGTCCACACCCTGGGTCCCACCCTGGTGGTGGCAGATATAAAAAATTACAGGAAAACTTTGTGGCCATTTTTTGAATTCCAAGAACTGCCCACAACACGGACAGGCCGGCAGGCACAGATGAGCCTGGGGTCTGATTTGTTGGCTACGCTTGATAGCCAGGAGTTGTACTCGAAGGTGCGGATTTGGACAGGATTGCTTTTGGTTAATTGCTGAAATCAGCCCAAGATTTATTGCACTGATACATTCCTTCAATCCTTCGGTTCGGCCTGCATACAGCCGGCACCACCAGCCTCGCAGGAGGTGCCCAGCCTCCCGTTTGAGCTCTTCCCCACCACCTCGACGCCCACCTCTTCACCTCTTTTATTCTCCACGCCACCTGCCTCGTCCACCAGCACTACTTCCGCTTCGACCACACCACAGGGTGCTCTCCTGGTGGCCTCGCCACGGCGTTCGTCCCACCAGCGCCAGACATCACCACTGCGCGGCACGCAAGTCAGGAAGAAGCTCTCCCTGAACCCACAGCAGCGCGGGAAGGAGAGCGAAGTCAACCTCCTTGCGGCGTGGCCTGCTGCGACCACAACGAGGGACGGAAGAGGAGGAGCATCACGGCAAGCGACAACGAGAGCAGAGGAAGAAGAGGAAGAAGAGCTGACCGAGCTGGACGCAGCGATGAACGCGCTGCACGACGAAAAGGAGGAAGCGGCAATAAGCGAAGAGGAGAAGGCTATTACTTGGCGCGGAGAGCCGGTGGCGAGCGACGACCTCCATGGGATCACCTATCGCAACCAGTTCGCCGTAGAACCGAAGGGCACCGGTACCTTTGCACTGTGCACACCTCTTTTGGTCGCGGACACGGCCATCGCACTTACATTGCACCCCGCTGTGGCACAGTATTCCGGGTCGGAGACAGTTTTCGTTGTGCTACTAAACGGCAGGGCGCCGAGGACGACGACTATCTTGAAGCCACGATGCCCGCTGATGCCTCTTCCGAAGAGCAACCCTCCATCTGTACGCTTCACGGTGTTCTTCTTGTCGCAAGCGCCGTGATGTCTGACATGTACAACCACACCGCCAGGCAAGCTGCGTTTCCTATGGGCCGACTCACGAGGCAAGCAGTGGGCTCTGTGTGAGGTATGACGCTCGTCCACCAATGCCTGGTACTTCACAAGCTCCTCCAGTTGACACCTCATCTCCTTGTATCAGAATTTTTACATGCCAGAGGACACAGTCTTCGGGCGCAAGCCCTATCACGGCAGCAAGGAGCTGCTCAAAGGGTACCACCAAGCTGATGCCTATTCCATGCATTACCAATGGATCACTCATTTCGGTGTGCTCTCATTATGGCGATCAGGGAGTACGCCGAGCGGCAGCTGCTGGCGGAGGACATCAAGGCCAAGGTGACTATCGAGGAGTTCTCGGTCTATCACGAAAGGGAGGTCTTCCCGGAGGACGTCTACTACTGGCGACAAGAGTACTACGTGCGGCCCAAGGCCCGTGCACCCTCGCCGCCTACGCTCTCGCTGAGGAAAAGGACCAAGGAAGACCGCGAGAAGAGCGACCATGCGCGGAATGCGAGTCTGGTGGAAAAGCACACCAAGATGGTGGAGAAGCTGATCGACCGCAGGCGACGCTCGGAAGCGCGCAGGCTGGCCGAGGACCAAAAACGTCAACTCGAGGAGGAACAGCGCAGATCCAAGGCCTTGACCCGCGACGCTACCCGGACCACCATCGAGATAGACGAGGACAGCGACCACGACAACGAGGTCAACGAACCCACCGAAAAGCAAGCAGAGGAAATTGCGCTGCTGGCGCCCTTTGAGTCGGTGGCTATGGTGGTCGATGATGGCGTAGTCGAACAGAAGAAAGCGGAAGAAGACGAGTGTGAGACCGTCACAGAGACCGCAACGAAAGCGGAGGTGGTGGAAACGGATGAAGGGCAGAACGGAGCGGTGGAAACGGCCTCCCCGCCGGCTTCGTACGCTGGCACGGCCTCGGCGAGTAATCGTCTGCCCTCACCGACGCCCTCGCCTCACGAGATTCTTCAGACGCCGCCCACTGCCGTCTCGCCTGCGCGAAAGAGACTCCGCCGAACTGGAGGACCCACGCTCTCCTCGCTCTCGGCGCTTTCGGCCTCAGGCTCTTCATCGATGTCGGCTGCGCCCTATTCTTCTACGTCGACCCGCGGGGCATCGACAGCTTCGTCGCTGTCTTCGCTCGCCGCAGCTAGGCGGGAGGCGCAGCAGGTCTCGCTCGTGCCTCTGTCGCAGCGCGGGCGAGGGAAGCACGAAGCCATCGAAGTCAACAGTGATGACGATGACACCGCCTCGGTCCTCGCCCAGCCATTGCCACCGGTGGTGCCGAGCGTGTCCAGCAGCCAGCCGCAGCTTGCTAGGCGACCGCCCACCAAGCTCGGGGCCGAATACGAGCCCGCTGTGGCACAAGAGCGAGGCAGCCGCTGGAAGATGTACACCCAGGAGTCCCCCGACGATGCCCTGCAGAACCAGTACGTCGTCCTCGTGCCTACATCATACATTCATGCCGGTGCTGATGTTGCCGTTTGGTGTGTAGAACGACCGTCAGCCTCAAGGCCAACACAAAGCCACGGAAGAAGAGGGTCGACGTCTTCAAGGTGTGTAGCCACCCGTGTGATGTAACGCATGGGGCTGCTAAATGACATGAACTCGTGTTGTTGGACTGATGACACGTGTGTAAAATGGGCAGTTCCCGAGTGATGACGAAGAAGAGGCCAGCGGCCATGAGGAGGCGGAGGCCACAGAGCTGCAGCTGCCACAACAGAACCTTCAGGAGGAAGAAGAGGACTCAGATTTCGCTGCGCGGCGATCAACCCGCATCCTTAAGGCTCGCAAGTGCGCTCTCCCTTCTTCACCCTTCGGTCCGTACGTAGCACAAGCGAAGCTGCAGTTCACCGCTCACGTTCCGGGACAGGCTCAAGCAGGGAAAGGTATTGGATATGCTTCAAGGCTCGAAGCAGTCCGCTGCTCTCTCGGCACCGCCACTTCCGACCGCCACAACAGGTGCGTCATTGGTGCCGGCTTGAAATGAGCTCGTTCTCTGCCCTTCTCACAATCGGGTCGGTGTCGGCCTTATGTACCGCAGGTCCGGCGGAGGAGGAAGAGCGCGCAGACGGCGCCGAACCAGCGGGCCTCGGCCAGGCGGAAAGAGGGCCGAAGACCAAGACGGGAGCGCACACTCGCTCGTTTCTCGTCCACCCACCGAAGCAGGTACGCAACGACCAGCCTCCCGTCCGCTTGAGGTGCTCTGAGGCCCACGTCGAGTCTTTCTTCGCGGCGGGTGCTGTTAGGTGATGCCCCACAGCCCCAGTCTGGCCATCCTCCGCTCGCTGCAAAAGCCGACCCATCTGTCACACGCGTCCCACTCGCCTTCGTCTTCCCAATCGCTATCGTCCTCGTCATTGTCGTCTTCGGCGCGCAGCCTTCTCTCTTCGTCGTCATCGTCGTCGAACCAGGCCAAGAGTGCCACCAGCACCAGCACCAACACCGGGCGGGCGGATCCGGTCACGCTCTATCTGGATGAAGGCGACGGCGACGAGCTCGATGAAGAAAAGCACAGCGAGCGAAAGCGGAAGAGGGAAAGAGAGAAGGAGAGGCCCAGCGTCGAGGAAAAGAGCAGGAAGCCGCTGGGCAGCTCCGGCGGAGGGCTCCTGCGGGCGCATTCGGCCGAGAGAGCGGCCTCCACATCAACGCGACCGCGCTCGCGCCGGTCGTCCATCACGTCGTCAAAGCAGGTCTTTCTTGAATCCGACGAGATCGTGGAGGAGGTGGGCGACCAGCAGAACGACGACCGTCGACGCCGAAAGGCGGCTGCGACAGAGAAGACCGGGCGCAAGAGAGACCTAAGCCCGAACAGGGGCATCTCCACCACGACGACGACGAGCAAGAGCAAGAGCGACAAGGAGCGAAGTGACAGCGAGAGCAGCAGCACCCGGACAACACGCAGGCGCGCAGCCAACGCCACGACGAGGGCGGCCACGAAGCTAAGCAGCAAGGCTGGAAGCGACAACGACAGGAGCGTAACAACGACGTCGGCGGAGAAGAAAAAGACGACGGGAGCGGTATCTCTGAAGAGGAAGAAGCTGGAGGACGAGCTGCTGGCGGAGTTCGAGGCCGAAACCGAACCGCTTGGGTCGTCCACGAGCAGAAGGAGCACGCGGCACAGGAAGCGACCGCGCAAAGTAGAGGAGGAAGAGGACGAAGAGGAGGAGGAGGAACAACCGGAGAAAGACGAAGAACAAGAGGAAGAGGAGGAGAAAGGGAGGCGCAAGAGTAGGCGAACACGGACGCGGGTCACTGCGCGGGAGAAGATGGACAGACAAAGGCGGCGACTAGAGGCGGGCAGTAGCGATGAAGACGAGGAAGGCGAGGCAGAGCAGAGCGAAGAAGAGGGAGAGGAAGAGGAGGATGAAATGGCCGGCTTCATCGTCGACGATGACGATCACGATGACGAAGCACAGGCGAAGCTCGACGGTATAGCTCCACCCTCCATTTTCCAGGGCAAGTTGGGCTGACATCATGCCGGTGGTGGCGGTGCGCTCCCAGCAATGTTGGGCCGAGGCAAGGGCCTGCCGGAGTCTTTTTCCGTGTACGTGCAGTACCTCATCTCCGGCTGCCTCGACCCAGACTTCGTCACCTCCCTGTCGTCCAAAGACAGTACGTGTCCATATCGTACGTCTCTCGTTTCTTGAGCGTGGCCCTCACGTCGGCCACCTATTCTTGCAGGTTACTTCTTGCCCGCACGGCGAAAAATCGAAGGTAATGGCCATTACGCCGAATGCTACAGGGAGTGTTGAGGTTGTTGTGGTTGTTTTGTTCAGTCTGACTTCAAGGCGCTTGTGATCACAGACGCGGTGGTCAGCCGAAAGGAGAGCCTTGTGAGCAGCAGCGCCTGGGTGCCCGGGTTTCGTGTACGTGGACCGATGAGCCACTAACCATGATACGCTCCAGAGCACCTATCCTTGTGCGTGCCACTCACCAGCGGTGGGTTCGCACCTGCAGCACGCTCTTGAATCTCTACCGAACTACCACTCGTGGCCGGCAGGCTCGGCGCTAAAGAAGGACTGCGAGGCCTGCAAGCGCACCAATCACCGGGCCACGTACAAGGCCTTCCCATTCAATCTGCTGCGGATTGTCGTGGGGTGTGTGCTCACATGGGCGCAGGTACCAGCTGGAGCTGTCAGGTCCGCACTATGACACTCGAGCGTACTGGAGCGGCAGCATCTCTGTACGTCTTCTCTCTTCGCCGGTTTTGGCGTTCGCTGTCCACTGACCTCTCCCTTTCCCGCGGGGCATCGTGTACTGCAGTTTGGTGAGGTGAATGAGAGTAAGGAGGGCAAGGCCAAGTACCGACTGGGCAAGCAGTGCCATGCCCGCACCAAGCTGTTTCACACCCTCCACCACTACCAGTACATGACTCAGCAGCTGGTCGACGTACGTACTCTGCACACAGCAGCGACCCTTTGTTAGGGCCACTCATGCCTTTCCGCCTCCTTGTTGCTTGCGTCTTTGCACAGAGGCGAGTTGAAAGCGTGCTCGGCACGGGCGTGGACGAGACGCAGGTCGTGCAGAAGCTCATGGACGACCAGGGTTTCCTCTCCAAGGCACGCACAACACACACGCTCGCACAGTCACGCTGCTTACACTTGCTTTGCGCACGATCACAGTTGTTCGATGAGTTCCAGGCCCTCCTGAAGAGAGCGGACAACTTCCGGGACGACCCCAAAGACCACGACGGCTGAGGGTGTGACCGAACACGAGGAGGACGTTGAGTAGGACCACCTTCTTCAATTTTTCACATTCCTGGGACTATGTAGCGTCGTCCGAATAAAAGAGGAAAACATTCACGAAAAAAAGTCCGGAACTGCCCCGACAGTTCCGCCTAAAAGGCCGACCCCTTCGCTCTTCTCCGACCGTTTTATCATCACACCGAAACCAGTGCACCACGACCTCCCCTCGCCATGGCTGAGCAGCTACTCGGCGCCTACCTGCAGAACAGGCTCGGCTCGCTGGCGGACAACCAGATCTTTTCTGGTGGTCTGCTGCTGGTGGTCGTCGGCCTTGTGGCGGCCTGGCTGCACTGGCTCGCCCAGGAGCTGTGGGACCGACTGCAGCGTCAGTTCCTGGTGTCGCTCGAGGTGCGGAAGGAGGACGAGGCCTTCCACTGGCTCATGAAGTGGCTCGCCGTGCAGACCGAGAGGACGAACGGCCGCGAGCTGAGCATGCTCACCAGCCGCGAGAACCGCCGCGACCGATACGAAGGCGCTGAGGCCGCCACCAAGCCGCAGCTGCACTTCGGCCCGGCGCCCGGGCTTCATTTCCTGCGCTTCCGCGGCCGGTGGATTACAGTGGAACGCATCATCAAGGAGAACCAGTTCGGCGGAAGCGCGGGGCACAACGGGCTCGAGCTGCAGGAGACGCTCAAGCTCACCACCTACGGCCGCCACCCGCAGATCCTCAAGGACATCGCCACCGGGGCCATGAACCACTCGCTGGGCGACGAGCTCGGGAAGGTGCTCATCTTCCAGCCCAAGTACGGCTACAACGCCGGCCAGTGGCGCAAGCTGATGGCCATCGAGAAGCGCTCCATCGAGTCGGTCCACTTCCCCAAGGGCGTGCTCGAGAACCTGCTGGCCGACGTGCGCGAGTTCTTCTCGATGCGCGACTGGTACAAGCGCCGCGGCATCCCGCACCGCCGCGGGATCATGCTCCACGGCCCGCCGGGCAACGGCAAGTCGTCGTTCGCCGCGGCCCTGGCCGGCGAGCTGGGCCTCAACCTGTGCGTGTGCAGCCTGGCCAACTCGAGCCTCGATGACGACGACCTGCAGGAGTACATGCGCAAGATGCCCAAGGGCAGCATCCTCCTGCTGGAGGACATCGATGCCGCCTTCGTGCACCGCAAGAAGAACGTCGATGACGGCAACAGCAACAAGGTCACCTTCAGCGGCCTGCTCAACGCGCTCGATGGCGCGGTCGCTTTCGAGGGCTCGCTGGTCCTCATGACCACCAACCATCGCGAGAAGCTCGACCCGGCCCTCACCAGGCCCGGCCGCGTTGACGTGGCCCTCTATGTCGGCCTCGCCAACCGCGACCAGATCGAGCGCCTCTTCGCCTACTTCTACCGACCGTGGGAGGCCGCCGCCGATGTCGATAAGGCCGAGAAGAACGTTGAGGCCGAGGTCCAGCACGTGGGCAAGAAGGAGATAGCGGTCCGCAAGGAGGAGATCGAACGCGAACGCGAGAGGGTCGACAAGATGGCGATCGAGTTCGCGCGCCTGGTGCCCGAGGAGCAGGTGTCGATGGCCAGCATCCAGGGCTACCTCCTGCGCTTCAAGCTCGACCCCCAGGCGGCCATAGACAACGTGGGCCAGTTCGTGGCTGAGGAGAAGGCTCGCATCAGCGAAGAGGATGCCCGGCGTAAGAAAGAGGCGGAAGAGGAGGAGAAGCAGAACGCAGCCAAGGAGGCTGAAGACAAGCGACCAAACGACGCTGTGTGAGCTGGGGGGGAAAATAAAATCAAAAACTATTTATTTCAATTCTTGGTGCCTGGAAAAAACAGAGGAGGTGCCAACTTTTTGGCGCGAAAACTTGACTGGAGAAATCAAGGCGGACGGCAAACGCCACAGAGCAAAATGGAGCTTGATGAGCCGGTGCAGACTTCGGGGGGAGAGAAACGAGGAACAGAGGATCTCGAGGTGCCGTGGGTCGAGAAATATCGGCCAAAGGATATAAAGGACATCGTTGGCAATGTGGAAACCGTGAGCCGCCTTCAGATTATCGCGTCGGAAGGCAACATGCCGAATCTCATTCTCGCCGTATGTCTGCCCTCCATTACATTTACAAGTAACACTCACTGATTGAGATCTCAATCGCGATTAAGGGCCCGCCCGGTACTGGCAAAACTACCAGCATTTTGTGCTTGGCGCACGCTCTGCTGGGACCCAACTACCGGGAGGGTGTGCTCGAGCTCAACGCCTCCGACGACAGGTACGATCCGATTGTGAGTGGATTCTGCATACAGCTTTGTTATCGTCGGGGGCTGACTCTGTGCCGGCGCGTGCAGGGGCATTGACGTGGTGAGGAATAAGATTAAAATGTTTGCGCAGAAGAAGGTGAACCTGGCACCCGGCAGACAGAAGGTGGTCATCTTGGACGAGGCAGACAGGTACTCTTAAGCTGGCATGCCGATGCTCGAGATTGGATGCCTGACGGCATGTGCTCTTTCTTCGTGGTGTGTCCAGCATGACATCAGCGGCGCAGCAGGCGCTCAGGCGAACGATGGAAATCTATTCCAACACGACGCGCTTTGCGTTGGCCTGTAACGTTTCGTCCAAGATCATCGAGCCTATCCAGAGTCGATGCGCCATTCTCCGATACACACGGCTGGGCGATGAGCAGGTGCTCAAGCGGCTAATGGAAGTTATCAAGGCTGAAGGGGTGCGCCATTGCCTTTGCTCAATGTTGTTTGTAACCTTGATCTCATACCTCTTATCTTTCTCTTTCTCTCAGAACATTCCACACACGGATGATGGGCTCGAGGCGGTGTTGTTTACCGCCGAAGGGGACATGCGGCAAGCGCTTAACAACCTCCAGTCAACACACGCTGGCTATGGCTTTGTGAATCGGGAGAACGTGTTCAAGGTTCTTCTTCTTCTTCTTCACCTACCACGCACAGACACGGTGATGCTGACGCATGAGTTCTTTATCGCACAGGTGTGCGACCAACCGCACCCTCTGCTCATCAAGTCGATCATGAACGAATGCGAGGCCGGTGAACTCGACACGGCGCTCCAGCAACTCAGCTCACTGTGGGGCCTGGGCTACTCTGCCGTGGACATCATCGGCACCATGTTCCGCGTCCTCAAGACCATGAGCATCCAGGAATACCTCAAGCTCGAGTTCATCCGGGTATCTTCTCTACTACTTCCTCCGTTTCGTCTTCTTTATCGCCTCGCTTTCGTTGAGTTGCCCGATGCTGACGCACACACCGCGCCGGTGTACGCAGGAGATCGGGTTCGCGCACATGCGAGCGGTGAAGGGCATGAACTCGCTTCTGCAGCTCAAGGCGCTCATCGCGCGCTTGTGTGCGGTCAAGACCAAACTGGAGAGCTCTGGCGCCCAGCGAGAGTGAAGGAGGCTTGGAGAGGAAGCTGATGTTGATGATGATCTATTCAGTCTTTTTTATTGGCGACTGCACGCGCACGAGCAGGGAGGGCAACGTGCGTGCTGCGTGCGAGAAGGAGAGCTTGCTATACATGAACTAGTGTGTGCGCGCTCACGACGTGACTGAAGCGAGTGAAGGGAGAGCGCGCGAGAAGAGTCGAGTCCGATCCCTCTCGGGAAAGACCCGAGGAAGTCTCTTACTTGCGGTACCAGCTGAGAAGATTCCTCTCGCGTGCGATCTTCTTCTGGAGCTGCATGAGGCCGTAGAGGAGAGCCTCGGCGGTGGGAGGGCAGCCGGGCACGTAGATGTCCACGGGCACCACCCGATCGCAACCGCGCACGACCGCGTAGGAGTAGTGGTAGTAGCCGCCGCCGTTGGCACAGCTTCCCATCGACACGACGTAGCGGGGCTCGGGCATCTGATCGTAGACCTTCCGCAAGGCGGGGGCCATCTTGTTGGTGAGCGTACCGGCCACAATCATTACGTCGGACTGACGAGGGCTAGCACGGAACACGATTCCAAAACGATCCATGTCGTAGCGAGAGGCAGCGGCGTGCATCATTTCGACGGCGCAGCAAGCAAGACCGAAGGTCATGGGCCAGATTGAACCCTTCCTGATCTGCATTTCCAATAATTAGAGATGATTATTTGGGGGGGGGATCGGAATAATCGAATCAATGACCGTGCCGCACCCAGTTGACAATTTGATCGAGCTTCGAGATGACGAACTCGGTCTTGGACAGACCAGTGAGGGCCTGGGGCTTGCCGAAGTGGGCTAGCTTCTGAGTCACGCCGCTGGACATGGTGGTTACGAGTTGATTGATGTTTGTGATTTTGTGGTTGTATGTTTTTGCGAGTCTAGTCATGCACACGTCAGCAAAAAAGGAAACCAAAAAAATCAAAGAAAGAGGAAAAGCAAAGGAAGAAGCGAAGGGCACGCTTGGCTGGAAAAGAAGCATCCAAGGAAAGACGAGAGCAAGGCAATGCTGAGCATTCCTCTCAAAACGACCAACAAGGTCGATTTTCTGCAGCCTCTTCAGCAATTCATCGTCAGGTCCTTCTCCAAGGAGCAACTGCAGCAGCACGAAGAGGCGCTTAATCACCTGCATCAATTGCGCGAAGATGTACGTACGGTGACCGATAAGAGCGAGCACACGCGCGATGTGTTCTGCCGCTACTATGGCCTTCTTGAAACTGTGGAGAAGCGCTTCCCCATCAACGAAGAAAACGTATGCCCTCCCTCAAAGCAAATGTAGAGAACACCGCGGCTCCTTCTCACGCTTTCATTGTGTAGATCAAAATCAACTTCGTGTGGTTTGATTGCCTCAAGCGCAAGAAGATCGGTACGTGCTTCCCTTGGCACGTGCCTTCACACTCGCCTACTTATATGGCCGCGACGTGCACCATACTACAGCTCAGTACAGCATCCACTACGAGAAAGCGTGCATCCTCTTCAACATTGCAGCTATTAGCAGCCAGATAGCCGAGGTGCAGAACAGGACCACGCCCGAAGGGCTCAAGAAAGCTTCGCACTTCTTCCAGCTCGCCGCGGGCACGTTCGAGCAGGTAAGCATCAGCCCACAGCGCCTTGCACGTCGCGAATGAAGACTCTCACAGTAGCTTATCGCCACGCTTTCCCCCGCGAACAGCTGAGAAGCTATCTCGAAGAGCATCCGCAGCAAGCAGTCCCTGTTGACTTTAGCGCCGACTACCTCAACATGGCAATCAACCTCATGCTCGCCCAAGCTCAAGAATGCTTTTGTGAGAAGGTGCAATACCTCTTTTGCTTCTCTAGACTAGCCGCCCAACCGCTGAACAACCGTGTCGTGATGGTGGTCCAGGCGGCCAAGGACAACATCAGCCCTATGGTAATGGCCATGCTCACGGCCCAGGCTGCCGATTACTACGATCTGGCACGGGCTCTGATGATCGCCGTCTCGCTGTCAAGCTACGTCGATGCAGTACGCTACCTCCTCGGCTCCTATCTTGCTACCTCAGCATTCACCAGTCCTTTTATTTCAGGTCTGGCCCCAATATGCCCAGGTCAAGTCCGCTTATTTCAAAGCATCTGCCAATCACAGCACCGCCACTGTGCTGCACAGCAAGGATCAGTATGGCGATGAGGTGCAGCCCATCCCAACCCGCGCGAAACCTTCCATGCATCACTCGCCGTGTCTGGACTTTCACCTCACTATTCGCTATGGTGATTGGCGGTTGTAGGTGGCACGGCTGCAAATGGCCGCCAACATCCTCGCGTCCGGCGATCTCTATTGGCCGCTTCGAGCTGTGGCCACTGAAGTCCAGGATTGGTTCAACCGCTTTAAGGAGGTACCCCACTGGCCGCCAAACTATCACTTCGCTTCCTGGCCCGATGGTTCAGAGCAACTCAACCCGGCTTTTCTTGACCCTGTCGCATCAGGTGGTGGCCAAGGCGAAGGGCACCGCTGAAAAGGAGAATGACACAATTTATCACGAGCGCGTTCCATCGCAGGAGCAGCTCGTCAAGCTGCCGCAGAAAGCCATGGTGAAGAGCCTGCCGCCTGGTGACCTGACGCTAAAGAGCGACAAGGATCCATTCTCGTCGCTGGTCCCGTTCCACATTCTCCAATCGGCATCGGTGTACAACGTACAGCGCTCACTTCCTTCGACCCCTACTGAAGCTACGTTCTTCACGTGAGCGTCTCACCCCGCATGTGAACAACAGGAGAAGAAAGCCGGACTGGTGCGTGAGGAGCTCAAACAGATCCGCGAGCACAGTGACTTCGCCAAGGGGTATGTGTGTCCTCCCTGTAAGGGTAACACACACGCGAGCTGATGCGTTTGGGTGGATGTTGCAGGTCCCTCAGCTCGATGAACCTGCCGGCGTCCATTGAAGGATCCGGGGATAAGGACCCCCTCCCCCCTTCGTTGCGCGAGAAGTCGCGAACTGTGCGACAGGAGGGCGGTCCCGAAGGCATCGAAGAGCTCGTGAACACTCTGAACAAGTTGGCCGATGTATGCACCTCTCCATGCAGTATCAGTTGCCGAGTTGCCCCGAAGCATCAGTCTCAAACGCCTTACCTCAATTCTCACTCTTTGTTGTACAGGAGGCGCGGATTTCGCTCGACAAAGCATTCCAGGTGCTGGATGAAGAGGAAGAGGACGACAAGCAGATTCGCGCGCAACATATGGGCCGATGGAACCGGTACGTCGTGTAGCCGTCTGCCGTTGCGAGAAACGCTTGTGCTCGATCAAGCTGACGCGTGCCAACTGCAGACCTCCCTCGCACGCTCTGACTGCCGGCTTGCGCCAGGAGGGAGCCAAGCTCAGGAGCAACTTGGAACACGCCCAGAAGTCGGATTCGTTCGTGCTTCAGAAGTTCGACGCACACCGACCCGGCATGGAGGGACTCGCTATGACCGAGGTACATTGTGTCCCAGTCAACAGCCTTGTCGGCACCACAAACGTGACTAAGCGCTCTTCAGGCTGAACTTCAGAGCGTTATGCCGGCTGTGGAAGAACTCCCTCCGGAGGCGGATGAGCCCGTTGAGGCCCTCAAGGAGAGCCTGGGCTACCTGGACTCGTGTATCGCCCAGAGAAACACGCTCGAGGCCCAGCTGAAGCAGACTTCGGAAAACGTGCGGCTGCGGCCCTCCCTCCCTCCGCCTTAGCCGCGAGCTGGAGAATGCTTATTTTATTTTATGTGTCATTTATACGCAGGACGACGTGACGGGTCTCCTGCTTACTACGCCCTATCCCCACGAAGTCATATTCGCCCAGGAGCTGCGAAAGTACGAGCCCATTCAAGCCAAGATAAAGGACAACCTCGCGGAACAGAGCAGGCTTCTGGACACCATCTCCGTACGTCCAGCACTCCCTTTCCGGGGGTGTTTTGTTTCGTTGCTGACGCCCGCGGCGCGGTGTGTAGAACGAAAACACGAGGTTTGTGACTATCAAGAGCAGAAGCGAGCAGTCGCGCAGGAGGCTCGACCTTCTTGCTCAGCTGGACAAGGCCTACGAAGCCTTCGTCGAGCTTCGGGGCAACCTTCGGTATGTGACCAGACGTGAACGTGCGTGGTATTGTGTGCACGAGAGCGAAGAACTTACGTTGGTTGCGCCAGCGAGGGTATCGAGTTCTACTCCAACTTCGACGATGTGGTTAGCAGCTTCCGCACCAAGTGCAAGGACTTTGTCTTTGCGCGAGGACAGGAGAAGAAGGACCTCTTGACCCAGCTCCAATCTTCGTCAAGCCGCCCTGTTCAATCCTCACCGAGCCACAACTACCCGACGTATGTTTGCACGCCTTCCCTCGTTTCGGCCTTGCATGTGCTGAACTTGTGCTTGTGTCCCATACAGAACGTCTGCCCCAGCGGCGTATCCCACTGCGCAGCTGCAACAGCCCACCTTCGGATACCAGGTACACGCTGGCGTCGCTCACCTGATCTTCCTCAAGCATGTGCTCATCTCCATCTCCTGTAGCAACCACAGATAGCGCCTGGGCTCGTTCGTCCACCGGGCGCGGGCGACTACGGCCCTATGCCCGGAGCGTGGCAACCGCACATGACCCCCGTCTACCAAGCCTCCCCGCAGCAGCCAGCTGCTTATCAACAGCCGCCCGCGTACCAGCAGGGCTACTCTGCTCCGCAGCAGCGACAACAGGGTACGGCCGCGTTGTGGTGGCGCTGTTGTACCTGCCGCCCACTACCCGCCTTTTAACATCATCGCCACCTCTGTCACCAGATCTTCCACCGTACTCGTCTGCTACGTATGGCTACAGGCAGTGAACGCTCTTGCGAGTGATTACGTTCTTGGTTCGCCTTCACGAAGAAGCTTCTTCGGTGTCGACAGCAACAACTTTCTTTTTTCACCGCGCCAGCCACCAAGAATAAAGAATCAAGAACCTCACCACACGCATCACCACCCCAATCTCTTCATTCCTTCTACCTCTGTACAACATGGCCGATGGAAAACGCGCTGCCCTCCTCCTGCGAAAGCAACTTAAGGGTGAGTCTCAAGCTGGTGCAATTTCTTTATAAATTCTCGATTCTAACAGGCTACGTCCATCGCAGAGCTCCAGAAGAATCCTGTGGAGGGTTTCTCGGCTGGTCTCGAAGATGACAACATCATGAAGTGGGAAGTCATGATCGTGGGTCCCACTGACACCCTCTAGTACCTCCCCTCCATCCACGCCTCAACGATGAGGCTGCTGTGCTCAGAGTTCTTTTGCACTTTTTATGCAGCGAGGGAGGCTTCTTCAACTGCATCCTGGAGTTCCCCAATGAGTATCCCGATCTTCCTCCCGTGATGAGGTTTGTGACGCCCATCTGGCACCCTAATGGTATGTTTTCCTGGCCCTGCCACCTGTTCGCTTCTAACTGCGCTGCCCGCTATGATAGTCTACGCCGACGGTAAGGTCTGCATCTCCATCCTACACCCTCCGGTACGTTCTTCTGCACCCGCACAAAGATCGAGCACGCCTCACTTCGTCGCTGCCCTTTTTTCCGGTGTGCAGGGCGACGATGAGTATGGTTACGAGAAGGCCAGCGAGCGGTGGACGCCCATTCACACTGTTGAGACCATCCTCATCAGCGTTATCTCTATGCTTTCCGACCCCAACGACGAGTCGCCTGCCAACCTCGAAGCCGCGGTACCGCTTATCCTCACGCCTCTACTAATCGCTCTGCTGGCCTTGAGTGTTAGAATGCCGCTCACCGGCCGGCTCTCCCTCTTCTCCAACAACAGAAACAATGGCGAGAGGACAAGGCTGGCTTCAAGAAGAAGGTGCAACAGTGCGTCCGCCGGTCGCAGGAGATGCTCTAAGGCCTGAACCAGACACCCGAGCTCTCGCCTCCAGACCCCACCCAAGAAGAAGTTGTAGTTATGTCCGAACACCAAAAAGCCAGAATTTTTCTCTTGGGGCAAGAAACAAAAAGAAAAGGTCGCAAAGGGAAGAAAAGAAACAAACAACCGTGAGAAGAAGATGCAGCTCCTGGTTTCTTCGATTGATGGACGCCTCCTCTCCTTCTCTTTCCCTACCACACATGTCACCTTGGCCTCGGTCAAGCAGGCCTTCGAGGACAGGGAAGGCGTGCCCGTGAGCGAGCTGCGCGTATCGTGCAATGGAAGATACCTGCCCGATGAATTCGGCTTCACCGAGGAGCAGGCTCTCGGCCTGCCCCCTCTCCGTGTGGGCCTTCGCGTGGTGGGTGGTAAGGGAGGTTTTGGTTCGCTCCTCAGGGGCGGCAACACCAAAGTTGGCCAGAAGAAGGTACCTACCCCCCCCCCCAAACACCCTTCTCGATTGCTGCTGACACGAACCGCCATCATAGACGACCAACTTCGATGCGTGCCGCGATCTGAACGGACGCCGATTGCGCCACGTCAACAACGAGAAGCGATTGGCTGAGTGGTATGCGCAAGAGAAGGAGCGCGAGCTGGCCCGGATCGGCGAGCGACACTCGCGGGTGGCGCAGAAGCAGGCTGTAACGCCGTTCGACGAGGTGGCCTACAACCAAACGCTCGAGAGCATCGAAGAGGAGGTGGCCTCATCTCTGCAGGTCGGCCTTCAGGAGGCCCGCGCTGCTCGTGAGCATCGGCAAGCAAATCCGCCTCCGCCCCCTTCAGCCCCCTCCTGGGACTTCGCCTATTCAGACTCGGAAGACGAGGAGGAAGAGGGCGACAGTGAAGAGGAGGAGAAGGAAGAGAAGGGCAAGGAGAAGGAGGAGGCAGAGGCGAAGTCAGGCGTCAAGCGGGAGCGGCCCGAAGAGGAAGAGGAAGCCGAGAACAAGGACGGCGAAGCACGGCATACACCCAAGAAAGCGAAGAAAGACGATTCCGAGTCCACCACAACAACGGCGTGCGGCAAGGCATCCGCCCTTCCCCCTCCCCCTGCCTGGATTCTGGGATGAAGGCCGATTATAAACTCCAGACAATAAAATCACACAGGGCCAATGATTGGTGGGTTGGGTGTATTGTGAAAAGAAAACACGAATGGATAGAGGGGGATGGATGAAAAATGCGTTTTACTCTTCCCTCTTGCCGTTGCCAGTAGCGAGGCGGGTGGCGCCGAAGAGCAGGGTAGCGATACCAGCGCCAGCAACCGAAGTAGCAACGCCGTAGAAGAACTTGTCCTGGCCGGTCCTGAGGAAGATCACACGGTGCTGGGCCTGCGCGGTAGTAATAAATGGAGGGGGGGGTGAGCGTCAATTCGGACAATTGATGATGGAAAATTCCTTGAGGGACATGTACCTCGCGGCCGATGTGGGCCTGCTGACCGTACAGCTTCTCAGTGCTGCGCCTGATGACAGTGTTGGCGAGGGGCCTGGCGGAGTGGAGGGCGCTGGACATGTTTTAATTGCTTTGGCAAAATCAGAGATCTTTTCACGTTTGTCCGGTTCGGTCCTGTGCTCTTTTCTCTCCTGGGCGCCCACGATCCCATTGGGCCGAGCCACTCTCTTCATTTTCCGCTCAAGTGCCCTGAAATTCGTACGAGTTTATTCATACCGCCCTCTTACAAGAATGCCAAGCAAGACAGCAAGCAGCACAGCCACCGCCACAATCACGTACACTGCGCGTGGGGGGAAGATGTGAGTTACGGCCGACAGGTGAGGCAGGGGACGGATGTACGTACCGGAGCCGTAAATCCGCATGTAGTAGACGATCCAATGCCTGGACGGTCTGGGCGCTCGGACGTGACCGACAGGCTTGCGTTGGGTGACAACTGCAGCGTCGCGCCTTGCTTCGCCTATGGAGCCACGTGGTGCTGAGTTCGCACAAGCCAACGAAAGAACAGAGATGGACTAGTCGAGGCATGGAGGACGCACTCATCTGAAACTTTCGCTCGGAAAGCAGCCGCAGGGTCTCCTCCCATAGGTCCTTCGCGAGCTCTTCGTTGTCAGTGGACGGATGGGCCTCGGATAGCTTGCCGTGCTCGAAGAACAATCCACCTGCACAGACTACGTAGTCAGCGACCAATCTACGCCACCACCACCACCACCACCACATGTTCAGCTCAGCTTGCACCTTTCTTTTCCAGGTCGGGCGAGGTGGCCACAAACACGCTCGTGTCCGCCCCTGTACGCAGTAGTAGTAGTGTACCCGGGCCGGTCAGCCAACTGCACCCAAGAGAGAGAAACAAACGAAGGAAGCGCTGCTGGGAACGAAACCTTGCGACGGGCTCTTGCCGATGGCACGCATGACGGCCTTGCCGGGGATGCGCAGCCACCAGGGCTTATCCTTGAGGATGTCGGATGCCACGATTCTGCGCAGAATCATCGATGCAAGCCGACATCAGTCAAAGACGAAAGCGGCAAAGAGCGCGGCGCTCTCGGAACGGAGATGAGAGTGTGTGCGCACCCAGGGCACACCGAGTTGGCGTAGACGCCCAAGTGGCCGTAGCGGCGCGTGAACTCGTTGGCTGAACGCGCGCGTGTTTGGTCGCGTGAGTATACGCTTTTTGAAAAGGCATAGCCCGCGGGAGGCGTACCGAAGAGCACGATCGCAAACTTGGACTGCGTGTAGGCCCGGTCATGAGTGTACTTGCCCTCCAAGTTCAGGTCGTCCATGAACATCTGGCCTGCATGCATTTGGTTCGCGGTCAGTCAGCGCCGCCGCCGCCGCCGCCAGGGCTGGCCACCTCAGCGAATCGGAGGGGAGGAGGCCGGTTTCGCACCCAGCGTGTGCGTGATGGACGACACTGCGATCACCCGGGAGGGCGTCTCGCGCTTCAACGCCGGCAAGAGTAGCAGGGTGAGCACCACGTGGCCCACGTAGTTGGTACCAAAGCAGCTGTGTCCGCCGCACGCATCCGTCAGATCGCACCCATCACACCTGCGAGCGGGGCAAGTAGTAGTGTAGTGCGTACAGTTCGAAGCCATCGGGGGTGGTGGTGCGGGCCTGCGGGAGCATGGGCATGACGCCGGCGTTGAGGATGAGCACATGAAGGGGACGACCGGAGCGTACGTAGCCCTCGGCGAAGGCTCGGACGGACTCGAGGCTCGAGAGGTCCATCAGGCCCAGTTCGACTCGGTCGCTGCCCGACTCCTGCTTGATGCGAGCCACCGCTTCCTCGCCTCGCGCCTTCGAACGGCAGCCTTCGAATCGCAGACAAAGTAAATGAGAATTAACATCCATTAAAGATTATTTAATGCTGAATCAGTTACCGCAGATTACGTGGGCGCCGAGGGCAGCAAGGCGGAGAGCCGTGTGGTAGCCGATTCCGGCGTTGGCACCCGTCACAAGGCACACTCGGTCTGCCACCGCCCACTCCCCCTTGCGGCCATCCTGTTCCATTCTCTGCGAATGCCAACGTGTGGCAATTAATTTGATTTTGTTTGAGATTTTTGTAACAGTTTTGAAATTTCTGCAAATCTCAATGCGTCGGGCACAGTCTTTCCGTTTGATGGACGACGCACAGCCGAAACTTAGTGCCGGGTCGGTCTTGTCGACGACGCCGGGCGGCATGCTCACGCCACACACCCCGCAACACCGGTCGGGCACCTCGATGACCACCCCCGTACGCGGCGGCATGTTCTCGAGCACGCGCAGAACGCGCAACCACATGCGCGGAACTCGCGTGTGCCCGCGCTTGAGGTTGTCGCCGTCGAGGTGGCTGATGGCGATGGCGAGCCGCTTGCGATGGCCCATCCTGACGATGCCGAGTTGTGAGCACAGCGCGTCGACCTCGTGCAATGCCATCATCGCCGGGCCGTCGATCTTGGCCGCGCTGATTCCGCGTATTCTTCGAGCCCCCATCGTGAGAGCTGACGGCACACCCGCTTGGTCGTCCACCCATCCCTGGCAAAAGTAACTCAATGTGCATTTCTTTTTGTTCACCATGTTTGGTCTTCGTAATCTGAGCCGTACGCGTCCTCTTCTTCCTCCTCCCTGCGCGCGGGGAGCTTTCTTTCGCCCTTCAGTATCTTGTCCCTGACCAAGCCGAGCGCGCAATGCAGCTCTGCGCAACCTGGCTGGGTCATTATGGCCTTGACCAAGCCCATCCACGTCTCGATGCCTTTCGGGTCCATCCACAGCGTCTCGTAGCACATGAAGCTGCGGAGGTCTTGGGCGGCGCTCGCGATCTCGATGGAGCACTTGACGCCGTAGTTTGCCAAACCGATGACCTGGAAGACGACGACGGAATCGTTGCCGCGGATGCGTTGGGCCATCACGCGATCGTCGACGTCTTCCCAAGCCAGCGGTTGCCCTTGCCTAAACTGGGATTCTACGGTTTTGCCCGGTTTTTGTCTGCCTTGTCCTAATGCACTGAACTACCTGTGCACTGAACGGCGCAAGCGTCGAGTAGTAGATGCACGATCCCTGACGTCCCTGGACGTTGTGGGTATGCCCACAGAGCACATCCTCGCCTTCGTAGTCGGATTTGCATCTTCCGCGGTGTGAGCGAAGATGGCGCACTTCACCGTGGAGCAGATCTACGCCACCTTGAACAACAAACGGCACAACATCCGGCACGTGTCGGTGATAGCCCACGTCGACCACGGCAAGGCCACGCTCACCAACGCGCTGGCCACCGCGGCTGGCGTCACCGCCCGGCGAACGTCGGCATCAGCTGCGCCCGATGAGCCGCATGGGGCGCGGCCATCCCCGGCCAGAGGCGGGGCAATGCTCCACCACGCACTCCGCGATGACGTTGAGATCGCGTCCGGAGTTGAATCGCGAGATTTTTTGATCAATTTGATCGATTCGCCGGGCGAGTACGTCGTGGATTCCCTGTCGGCTTCGATCTCGTCCGCGCTGCGCGTGAGCGATGGCGCCCTCTATGTGGTCGATTGCGTCGAGGGCTTGTGCGTGAGCAGCTCCTCCACGACGCTCGGCCGGGCGCTCAACGAGCTCGTCCGGCCCGTGCTCGTGATCAACAAGATGGACCGCGCGCTGCTCGAGCTCCAGCTCGACCCCGAGGAGCTCTACCGCACGTTCGTCAGGGCGATCGACTCGTTCAACGCCATCGCCTCGTCGTGCGTCTACCACGACACGGCCCTCGGCGACGTGCAGGCCCAGCCCGAGCGAGGCGGCGTCGCCTTCGCGTCGGGCCTCCACGGCTGGGGCTTCACGCTGCGCACGTTCGCCCGAATGTACGCCATCAAATTTGGCGTACCGCAGGAGAAGCTGATGGCACGGCTCTGGGGCGAGAGCTACTGGGACCCCACGGCCAGGCGGTGGAACAGATCGGGCTTCACGGAGGAGGGCAAGCCGCTCCCGCGCGCCTTCTGCCAGTTCGTGCTCAGGCCCATCTACGCGCTGTTCGACCACGTCATGACCGGCGAGCTGGACAAGGTGGACAAGATGCTGGGATCGCTCGGCCTCTCGATCCTCGAGAACAACCAGCGTCGGCCTGGCCTCGTCGGCAAGCCGCTGCTCGTCCGCGTCATGCAGAAGTTCCTCCCCATCGCCGACGCGCTCCTCGAGATGGTCGTCCTCCACCTGCCTTCGCCCGTCGCGGCCCAGCGATACCGCGTTGACGTGCTCTACGAGGGCCCGCTCGACGATGAGGCCGCCACCGCCATCCGCAACTGCGACCCCGATGGCCCGCTCATGATCTACGTCTCCAGGATGATCCCCGCCGCCTCTGATGGCGCTGACGACGCGCAACGGGGTCGCCTCTACGCCCTTGGCCGCGTGTTCTCTGGTCGGGTCGCGACTGGGCAAAGGGTCAGGATCATGAGCCCCAAACACCAGCTTGGCAGGCCGGACCTCTTCGTGGACAAGCTCATCCAGCGCATGCAGATGGTGATGGTGGCTACGGCGGAGGGGCCTCCGCCTGCCATCGACGACTGCCCGTGCGGGAACCTGATCGGCTTGATCGGCATCGATCCGTACCTGTTCAGGTCGGGCACCATCACCACCGCGGAGACGGCGCACAGCCTGCGGGACATCAAGTTCTCCGTATCGCCGGTCGTGCGCGTGACGGTCGAGCCCACGAACCCGGCAGACCTGCCCCACCTGGTGAGAGCTCTCAAGCGCCTTGCCCGATCCGACCCGTGCGTGCGGTGCGACTTTGAGGAGTCGGGTCAGCACGTCGTCGCTGGGTCTAGCGAGCTGCACCTGGAGATCTGCCTCATCGACCTGCGAGACTACTTTGCAGACTCCGACATCAAGCTCAGGACGGGCGAGCCGGTCGTGTCGCTCCGCGAGACGGTGACGGCCAGGTCCGATCGAACGTGCATGGCCAAGTCGCCCAACGGGCACAATCGGCTCTACCTCGCCGCGAAGCCACTGGCCGATGGCCTGTCCGAGGCGATCGAGTATGGCGAGATCACTCTGGATCTCAACTCGGCCAAGACCCGCCTCCGCGAGCTGACCGAAACGTACGACTGGGACGTCTCCGAGGCACGCAAGATCTGGTGCTTTGGCCCCGAGACTGCCGGCCCCAACGCTCTGGTCAACGCCACCGACTACGGGCAGCAGCAGCTGAACGAGATCAAGGACTCGTTCACCGCCGCCTTCCAGTGGGCCACCAAGGAGGGCGTCCTCTGTGGGGAGAGCATGCGGGGCATACAGTTCAACATCCACGACGCCGTCCTCCACGCCGACGCCATCCACCGTGGCGGCGGCCAGATCATCCCCACCGCCCGTCGTGTCATCTACGCGTGCGAGCTTACCTCCGAGCCCCGCATCATGGAGCCCGTCTACCTGGTCGAGCTACGCCAGTGCACAGACGCCCTCACGAGCGCCATCTTCGCCGTCCTCTTCAAGCGCCGAGGCCACGTCATCGCACATGACGCGCGAGAGCAAGTCGTGAAGGCCTACCTGCCCGTCGCAGAGTCCTTTGGCTTCACCACCGAGATCCGCTATGTCACTCGCTGCCAGGTCACGCCAGAGTGCGTCTTTGATCACTGGCAGGTCGTACCGGGCGACCCCACTGTCCCCGGCCTGGCGCAGGACATGGTCCTCACGGCACGCGCAATGAAGGGTCTCGCGCCCGCCATTCCATCCCTCGACCGCTTCCTTGATGTCCTCTAGTCCAAAGGAGATCTTGATGCTCTCTCTCTCTCTCTCAAAGTCTTCTTACCAGTCTCCTGCTCAGCACACGTTGTATTCAGTTGTTTCTTATTTACACACACGCAACATGTACAAACCTCTCAAGAGTGTGCGCGCACAGTGGTTTGAGGTGTGTGTGCAACAGCCTTCATTTCATCTCCCACTCCTTCATGGCAGCTTGTGAGTGAGAGAGAGAAATGGTTCTGCTCCTTCTTCTTGTTCTTGTTCCTCCTCCTACCTTACCCCCTTCAAGTAGATCCAGCACTCTGGAGGCATGACAATGGTAGAGAGAGGAGAGGAGGATCAAAAATGAGAACTGGGGAACGCTGGAGAGTACACTGCTTAGAAAAATGGGCTTGCATAGAGGTGAATGTCTGTGATTTGGCCATGACCACAGACAAGCCCAGAATCCTGCTTAACATTGACAAACTGCCAGGTGGCAGAAGAAGAAATCTGCAGTTTGTATTTATTGAGTATTGTCAAGTAACTCTACAGCCAATGTCTGGCGGCCCCGTGAGTACAGGGTGATATCGGACAGACAGGTGGGCGCCGACGAGGGCGCGCTGCGTGGGGCCATCGCCGCGGCACTGCCATCTTCGACCGCTGGCTACATGCCCAAGGGCTTCAAGCGTGTGGGTGGACCAGACCCCAAGTTCGCCACCAAGTACAACCTCTGCGAGACCGCCAACGGGCAAGGCAGCGATGCAGATAGAGATCGCCAGAACGTCGACAACTCTGATCTCCTCGTCGCCTTCCTTGTGGACAAGCCCATGACCGGCAGGCACGCGCTATACGATGAGAAGGGTCTCGCGCCCGCCATTCCATCCCTCGACCGCTTCCTTGATGTCCTCTAGTCTTGATGCTCTCTCTCTCATCGCATATGCTGGAAAACGGCAGAGTAGCGTGTTGCCGTAGGCTTCGTAGCGTGCGTGACGCCAAGCATTTTGGCGCGAAAGCAAAATTGCAAATCGATGAGGGAAATTACTGGGATTGCCTTCTTGTCTTTTTCCTGTAAGGCCTGCAAAGTGGGGGCAGGGAAGAGAGGGTTCGTTGGATTGATTGATCGAAATCGCTACTCGACATTCTCGACGAACTTCGCTTCTCACGCTGCACCCGCCTATAAAGCCGACTTACGCGCCAACTTCATTTGACAGCCTTCCACATCTGCGACCATTTCGCTCAATCTCATCATCACAGCATCTTCGAACATCGCACTAGAAATAATGAACTCGCACGCCAACATGAATGGAATCAAGACCGAGGGAACGGAGGGACTTATGGGATTCTCGTTCGATCCAGAGAATCTTCTGGACGAACAGAACTTTGCTCAGGCCTCGCAGCTCATCGAGAGCCTGTCTGGCGTGGACATGGGCCTGGGCGACGGCAGCATGGATGGACAGGGGGGCGACGTGGCGCAGGCCGATCTGCAGTTCATCACCGACCTGGCCAATCGGCTCAACAGCAACTGGGCGCAGAAGGGCGGCCAGGGCGGGAACACCGACGATCTCAGCGCCTGGCTCCACACGCTGCAGGGCGTGAGCGAGGGCGACATGATGGTCGAAGGCAGCCAGGCCTCTGAGGAGGAGGACGAGGCCAGGCAGCGCTACCTCGGCTCGCTCACCTTCGACGTGGCCGACAGCCACCTGCACGCCGGGCCCAAGCTCATCCCCGGCGACGACGTCCTCCTGCGGCCCGTGCGCACCCTCAGCCCGCTCGGCGTCGAGGTCCATACCGACAGCGGACACACCATCGGCACCCTCCCGCGCACCGTAGCCGCCTGGGTGGCGCCCCTGCTCGACCTGCCGCGCGTCAAGGTCTCGGCCCACCTGCCCAACGATCTCGACAACGGCCTCGCCGTGGTGCTCAAGTTCTACTTCCGCCTCATACCTTCCGCCTCCTCCTTCACCGCCGCCGCCACCTTCTCCGATCCTCTTCTCCTCGAGCCCATAGAGCGCGGCGCACTGCAGCACCTCGCCCAGGCCCTCGGCCGGGACCTGCTCGATCTCCTCCCGAACGCCGTGCTCAACGACGTGCTCTCATCATCATCATCGTCGTCTTCATCATCGCTCACGTCATCATCGGCGTCCATCGCGCCGCTCTCGTCTCCCTTCGCCTCGCGCAACGGCATCGTCAGCTCGGGACCGGTGGCTGGCTCGTACAGTAGTAGCGGCGTGCTGAACAGCAGCGCGGGCGGCATCAGCGGCATCATCGGCGGCGGGGTCATGGGCCAGCTGCCCAAGAAGCGCGAGCTGACGGTGTCGTGCCCGATGCTGCCGCAGGCCGTCAACAAGCGCGCCCGCACAGGCGAGGGCAACCGATTCCTCGATAGCGAGTTCGGCAATCCCGCGGGCGAGCCGACGGCCAACGAGCTGCAGCAGCTGCTGGGCGGCCTCAACGGCCAGCACGCCGAGATCGCCGAGATGGAGCCCTCGCCCGCGCTCATGCTCACGCTGCGGTCCTACCAGAAGCAGGCGCTCGGCTGGATGGTGGCGCGCGAGCGCTCGACGACGGAGATCCTGGAGCTGCACGAGAGCGCGCGCCGCGTGCTGCCCGCCGAGTGGAAGGAGTACACGACCAGCACCGGGCGCAAGTACTACTACAACGACACGACCAAGTTCACCACGTGGGAGTTCCCCGTCCAGCACGAGCCCATCAAGCCCACCGACTCGTCGAAGGTGTCCGTGCGCGGCGGCATCCTGGCCGACCAGATGGGCATGGGCAAGACCATCGAAGTCCTCTCCCTCATCCTCACCAACCATCAGCGCGACCCGCACTCGGACTTTGCCAAGACCAACCTGGTCGTCTGCCCGCTCTCCGTTCTCACCCAATGGCTCGACGAGATCAGATCTCATACGGGTACCGCACTTTGCTCTTCTCTTGTGTCGAGCCTGGGTGTGTGTCGTGTCGTGTCGTGTGTTATTCTTGTGGCTAATCTGTGGTGGGTGGGGCGTGTGCAGCGAGCGGGCATATTTCGATTTACGTATACCACGGCGCCAATAGAGTAAGAGACCCCGCGTTCCTGGCCAAGCACGACGTGGTCATCACCACCTACTCCACCCTCGCGGCCGAGCTCCCCAGCGAGAAGAAGGGCAAAGCCTCATCACCCGAGGCCATAGCCGGTACGCACATTCACCACTCCCCAGGCACATCGTCCGTTGAGTGCTCGAAGCTGATCATCTTCTTGCGTTGCGTGGGCGAGCAGAGGCCAAAGCCAAACGGCAACAGCGGAAGGGCGATCCGCAGGGCGCGGCCCTGATTCAGGTGCCGTGGTATCGCGTCCTTTTGGACGAGGCGCACACAATTAAGGATCGTTCCACACGCACCGCCAAGGCCGCCTTCGCTCTCAAGGCGCAGCGCCGGTGGGCAGTCACCGGCACCCCCATCCAGAATAAGCTAGACGATCTCTACTCACTGCTGCACTTCCTGCGCCTGGTACTCCCCTCTCTCAAATTGTTCAATATGAGCAAGGTTCTGATCCGCACACCTCGAACACACACACGATGCAGGAACCTTACGGAGAATATAATGCTTGGAATCAGCACATTATGAAGCCTATCCGTAACCGGGATGAAAATGGATTCGTACTACTTCAATCTATTCTTGAAACCATACTTCTTCGGTACGCGCCGTGCACCCTCACTCCCCTTGGTTTGATGATCTAACTGACGAATGTGTGTCGTGTGTGTCGTGTGTGCAGGCGAACCAAGGATCAACGAATTAATAATGTGCCAATCGTATCTCTACCACCACGAATTATTAAACTTAGGCCACATGCATTTAGGGACGAAGAGCACGACTTTTACCAAGCGTACGCCTTCCCGCACGCACGCACGCCCCTTCACGCGCCCCGTAATCTTACGATTCTCTCGCTCTCTGTGTGTGTGTGTGTGTGTGTTTCTCAGTCTGTGGTCCCAGTCGAAGACCAAGTTCAACGCCTTCATCCAGGCGGGCTCCGTGCTCAAGAACTACGCCCACATCCTGGAGCTGCTGCTGCGCCTGCGACAGGCCTGCAACCACCCCTACCTCGTCCTCCACGCCCGCCAGCCCGCGGCCTCCTCGGCCGAAGCGCCCCAGCTGATGATGCGCTACCTGGCCGAGCTGCGCGCCGGGCATCAGGTCGTTCCGCCGCCGGCCCTGCGCGAGCTGCTGACCCGATGGGCCGACGAGGAGTGCGTCATCTGCCTCGAGCCGGTCGACGAGCCCGCCCTGACCCCGTGCGCGCACGTCTTCTGCAAGGCCTGCATCCTGCGCCATCTGCTGGCCTCGCCCGGCACCTCGTGCTGCCCGACCTGCAACCAGCAGGTGCTGCCCAACGACCTCATCCCGCTCCCCAAGCCCGACAAGGACAACATGCCGGCCGACCCGGCCGCCTCGGCCGAGGGCAACAACCACAAGGCCGCCCTCGCCGCCAAGTGGAAGAGCTCGACCAAGATCGACGCCCTCATGCAGTCCCTCTGCGACCTCCTCGCTCGCGATCCCGGCATCAAGTCCATCGTCTTCTCCCAGTGGACCTCCATGGTTCGTTCTTTCTTTCTTTCGTTCTTTTTGATGACGTGGCCCTTCGTTTTCTTACTTACATGCGTGTTTTATTTTTTCGCCACTGCAGTTGGACTTGGTGGAGATTCCCTTACAGGAGGCGGGCATCCGCTTCGTGCGCTTGGACGGCAGCATGCCGCAGGCCCACCGCGAGAACCACATCCGCACGTTCCGCACGGACCCGGGCGTGAACGTGTTCCTGGTGTCGATGAAGGCCGGCGGCCTCGGGCTCAACCTCACGACGGCGTCGCACGTGTTCCTGCTCGACCCGTGGTGGAATCCGGCGACCGAGGACCAGGCCATCGACCGCGTGCATCGTCTGGGACAGGTGCGGCCCGTGGTGGTGACCCGGTTCGTGGTGAAGGACACCATCGAGGAGCGCATCCTCGAGCTCCAGCAGAAGAAGAAGCAGCTCGCCCAGGGCGTCATGATGCGCAACAAGGAGCTCCGCCAGATCCGCATCGAAGAGCTCCGCCTTCTCTTCCGCGACTAAGGGCCTCTTATCCTCTCCGCGGCCCCTCCTCGTCAGCCTCTTCTCGCACCTTCCCAACGCACATTTTTGTCTCCTCTGTATCTTTGTTCCATAATACAACACTACCACCCGTTCGCACAGCAATCGTGAGCGGCGCAACACGGAACGCGCGAGCTGCACAACACGACACGCGACGCGAAGCAACTGTGGTTGGCTGAAAGTCCGAAGTTGAAGGAAAAAGAAAGTGAAAAAGTCGCAGGGCCCTGCGACTTAAACGAAAGGCCAAGGGAAGAAGGCCACCGGGTAGAGAGATGTCGCTTTCGTTTCTGTTTGGCAAAACGGTCAAGCCCGAGGAAGTGGTGCGCAAATGGCAGCGCGAGTTGCGCAAGGAGGAACGTAACATCGAACGCTCCATCCGCGGTACGCTCTCCATCAAGATTTGCTCTCCTTTTTTACATCTATCTCATTTAACACAAGATGTGTGGACCACACATCAACCGATATAGACCTGGAGCGGGAGGAGCAGAAGGTGAAGTTGGAGATCAAGCAGGCGGCCAAAAGAGGCGACCAGAAGACGGCACGCATACTGGCCAAGCAGATCGTGCAGTCGCGCAGGGCCAAGGAGCGCATGTACAAGTCCAAGGCCGAGCTTCACTCCATCTCCCTCGCCCTCACCCACCAACTGGGTACGAGAGAGCTTCTTCTCCACTCCGCCCCCGAGGCCAATTGCAGTCTTGGCCACCCACTCAGCGTGTTTTGTGTGGTTGCGCGCGTTACAGCGACGATGAAGGTGTCGGGCGCCTTGGCCAAGAGCGCAGCGGTCATGCAGTCGATGAACAACGCCATCAAGCTTCCCGCCATCCAGCAGACCATGATGGCCATGGGGCGCGAGATGGAAAAGGTTGGTCTTCCCTTTGCCAAACGACCACAGTGCTCGCTCGTGTCTTACCACGGTGGTGGTGGTGGTGGTGGTGGTGGTGGTGGTGGTGGTGGTGGTGGTGGTGGTGGTGGTGGTGGTGGACAGATGGGGCTGATTGAAGAGATCATGGACGACGCACTGGAGCTGGACGAGGACGAAGAAGATGAAGCCCAGGAGGAGATTGACAAGGTATGAATGAATGCGCTTCCTGCGGGGGAAATAGCACACTCGCTGACCCTCATCTGTGTCGTGCCGTTAGGTGCTGGACAGCATCCTGCTGGACATCAAGCCGGTGCCGGTTCAGCCCGTGCCCGAGGCGGTCAACACACAGGAGGACGTCGACCTGCAGGCCCGCCTCCACGCCCTCTCAGCCGTCTGAAGAAGAGACCCCCAAAGACCACTCTCTCTCTCTCATTCGTCGTGTACAGCAGAACACTTCTTATTCGCCAGACCTTCAACAACGAACAACAAACAAAAACGAGAGATAAATAAGTACATCGCGTGCGCATCAGGAAGGGCGTCAGGGCTTGCTGCGCCGAGACTGGCGCTGTTCGGGCTGTCGGTAGTCTTCGCCGCCTCGGTAGGCGTGCTCATCATAACCGGCGCCGCCGCGACCATAGTACTCGTCACCGCCACTGCCGCTGCCGCCGTAGTAGTCGGCATCGCCCTTGCCCCGAGGGCGCTCGGCCTCGTAGCCCCGGTGGTAGTCATCAGTGTGGGGTGCCACAGGCGCCACATCATCAGACAGGACGCCCAGCTCGAGGTCCTTCTTCTTCGCGGCCTCTTCTTTCGCGGCATCGCGAGGCTTGGAGGTGTCGAACATCTACAGACACGCACACGCACGCACAGTGGACATCAGTGCCTGCATGCTGTGTGTTGCGTGTGTTGCGTGTGCTCGGGCTGTGCGTGCGTGCGTGCGTGTGTGTGAGGTTGGAGGTGTATACCGCGAAGTCGCCGACTATCATGCCGGCGAGTGCTTTGGCCGCGGGGTGGTCGATGTTCTCGAGATACAGCTGTACGGTAACCGTAAGCGGGACCTGACCATGGGTTACACACAAGACGGCGGAAAAAGCGGTGAGGCTGTGTCCTGCGCGATGTAAAATGTAAGACAATGTGATGGGGGGGGGATTACCGAAAGAATGGCGCCGATGACGCCCCAAAGGGCGCCCCAGAAGAGTAGCGCGCAGATGACCGTGATGGGCGGCATGTCCATCGCGTTACCCAGGATCTTGGGCTCGAGCACTTGGCCCGTCAGGAACTGCACAGTACCGCCCCTCGTCGGTTAGAAGAATCCAATGCGCTGGCTTGCCAGCGTGTGCGTGTGCGGTGTGTGCGTGTGTGTGCGGTGTTGCACCTGCATGACGGTGAGGGCTACGGCAACAGCGAGAAGCTCCCACAAAGCAAACTCCTCCTTGAACAAGACGAAGGGAAGTGGCAGCAGGACGCCGAGCACGGAGCCGATGTTGGGGATGTAGTTGAGGATGCAGGCCATGAGACCGTTGAAGAGAACCAGGTCCACGCCGAAGACGAGCAAGATGATCGAAGTGCCCACGCCCGTAAGGACCGAGATGAACGAATGGATCTGATCGCACGCACACGCACACCGCACACCGCACACGCACACACACGAAGTGAAAAGAGGCTGTGAGTACGGTGGCACAAATGCGGCTGTGGTGGGGTGGGTACCATGATGTACTTGCGAATGCGGGAGTCGATGTTCGATTGAAGCACGGACTTGTTGGAGCCGTCATAGCCGAGCAGCATGTAGACGACGATCAGCATCACCAGCACCATCTGCGTGACGATGTTGGCGAGGTACGAAGCGGCGGAGACGGCATACGCCGCCAGGTCGATCTCGGGTATCATGGCCTCCACGTCCTCCCGGGTGTAACCATACGACTCACCGAGCTCGACCAGGGTATCCATCAGATTGTTCACTCGCTCCTTGTAGTAGTCTGCATTATTCACGTTGTGTGCGTGCGTGTGCGGTGGTGCGTGTGCGGTGGTTAGTCGATTGCAGGAGGTGTGGTGCCGGCTGAAGGCGACAAGACGGTACCGGCGTTGTCGATGATGTCGGAGATGGTCAGGGTCACGATGAGGCCCAGGGCGGCGAACACCACGGCGAGCAGGAAGAGCACCGTGACCACGGCCACCCAGCGCGGCCATCGGAACCTCACCTTGCACAGCGGGAACGGCTGCAGCACCACACAGCGGCCCGTTAGCCCAGAGTGTTTGTTTTATAAAATGAAAAGATTATTAGTTTTAAAAAAATGGGATTAAAGAAATGGTTGAGATGTACCTTCTTGCCGACGAGCACGTTGATGAAGGGCTGGAAGATGTAGATGAGGAATCGAGAAAAGACGAGCGGCACGAGCACGAAATCGAGGTAGACGAGCATCACGCCCAGACCGAGCAGACCCAGGACGAGAAGGGCGGCCATCTGTATGCCCTCCCTCATCTTGAGCTCCTTTTGCTCGGGCGTCAGGCTGTCCGTGTATTGCGAGGCCTCCTTCTTCGCCTCCAGCTCCTCGGTCGAGGGGATGTCCACGTAGGTTGCTGGCGCATCGGGTGCCTGGCCTCCATGGTCCTCCTCATGATAGGCGGCCTCGTCGTGCCCACCATGGTAGGGCTCATAAGCCTCCTCTCTCCTTCCGCCCGATCCGTACATCGTGAATGAATGAATGAATGATTTCTTTCCAAATCGGCGCAAGTGCTAAAATCGCTGCTGGTGCCCGATGAGAGACGTCTTGCCTGCGGTTGGGTTGTTGGTATAATAGATGATAAAGCACCCGAACCGCCCTCTACTCGATTTTGCAAGTAGCCGATAGAGGCAAACTTCTCCAGCTGTGGTGAGAAGTCTTTTGCCGCGAAGGCAGTACCGGGGCAACCACCGACACAAACTCCCCGCGACGTCACCCGCGATAGGGCCATCTACCGTAGTTGGAAATATGATCAAACACACAAGAATGTCAAATATTTCGAGGTTTTCGGCTAGGAAATATTTCAAATAACAAAATGATCGGGGGAAAAAGAGATCTACTGCGCGAGGGCACGCGGCACACCGTCTTGTCCGTTGGGCAGCTCAAAGTTATCTTCGTCGGCTCTGCCGGTGTGGTGGTAGGCCCTGCGCTTGGGGATGGACCGCGCCAGTGCCGCCCGCCAGTCGCCCGTCTCCGCCACCGTGGTCACGATCTCAACCACTAAAACGATGAATCGCTCGCAGGTCAGACACGTGTAGACTTCAAACGTGGGTGGAGCTGCGGGCGGCCCTACCGTGGTTCACGTTCAGCACGGTGCGGTGCGAGGCCTCGAACTCCTTGAGCGGTAGACACGCCGTGGCGATCCCCTGGTCTCGCGCCTTACGTAGCGTGAGACCCTGTGTGAGGCGGTGATGGCACGCAGCCGTGAGTCGCGTGCAAAGACTTGGGCGAAGGAAGGCAATCATCACAGTATACGCGCGTACTTTCTGTATGTGCGTGTCGGCGATGCCGCCGATGATGTAGATCTTGTCGGGGTCGATTTCCATGAGCACGTCCGTTGCGTCGGGCGACAGGTAGACCAGCTTGTCCACCTCATCGGCAAACACCTCCGTGTGGCATTGCTCGTGCTTGCCCACAGGCCACCTTCAGGCGTGAACATGGAAGGTCACCAGCGTGGCTTGGTGGTCAGTCGCCTGCTCGCCCAATGGGCTGACAGGGCAGGGCGGTCATACCGGGAGTAGCCCACATGGCGCTGGAGGGCCTGCTCCATGCGTGGGGTCAGCGACGTGAGGTGCAGCTCAAGCGGACGCTCACACTTGGACCGCATCCTGGAGGAAGCCAGCACACATCATCATCAAGGATGAGCATGGTGCGGCAACATGTTACGCGAAGCCCGGGCGTGCTGCCTCTCATGAGCCGTAAAGGCGCGCGCCGCGGGAGAGAGCAGGTGGTGGCGGGCAACCGTGGAGGTTAGGATACCAGCCGTAGGACATCTGCACCTGGTTGGCCACACTTCGGACCTCCTGTGTGCGTGTGCGTGTGCGTGTGCGTGTGCGTGTGCGACACAGTTGCCGTCAGCACCTGTGCACACCAACAACGGATGGACAGGAGGAGCGCACCTTGTCCTCGAGATGCGAGTCGAAGCTCATGTCGACCACGAGCCGTGGTCGGTGCGCGGTCCAGCTATCTGGGTCGTCCTTCTTCTTTTTCTTTTTCTTCAGGGTGCTGCCCTGCTGACCTTCATCCGCCTTGTCTGCTGCCCCCTCAGCAGCGCTTCGCCTGTACTTGCGGTTCTGCTTTTCGACTTTGCGATTCAATCTTCGCCGCTCTCGCATGAGCTCATACTTTTGCGCCTTTTTCTCGCTGTGCGTCAGCTTGTACCCCTCTGCCATCGATTCTGCTACCGGCAGGTCGGCGAACATGAGCCCCTCCTCCTCCTCCACCACCTTCTCCCCATCTACCTCATCTCGCACCTCCATACTTATTTTTTTAATCTTTTTTTATTCTTTTAAAGAAAAAAGATTAAATATTATATCTTTAAACTCCGTAGACTGTTGCCGGGGCTCTTTGTGGTGGTGAACGCGCCTCTTTATTTCTGTGTTCATTTTTCGAGAGGAGCGAGATGTCCCTAAGCGCCAAGGGGATAGTGCAAGTTCAGCCGAACCTGCTCCTCAATCGCTACGTATGGCCGGCACCCAGAGAAAACTATAATAATCCGCGCAAAACCAAAATGCGAGGGGGCGGGCATCGAATGTCTCACTTTCTCGATTGATTTCCTTCACAGCAATTAGGTGACACCCTCGGCAAGGGCGCATTTGGAACGGTCTATCGAGGGCTCGACGTCGGTATGGCCTCCGTAGAACCCAAGTTAACATTATTGTATCATCAATTCTGCTCCCAATGCAACACCTATTTTTTGTCCCTTTTTCTGAGATCAATCAAACCTGATTTATCGCAACATGTTTTTTGAATTGTGTTCCGTAGAGAATGGCGACTTTGTGGCCATCAAACAGATCAGCCTGCACGGCATCCCGAGGGACGTGCTCAAGTCTATCATGGTACGTCTGCCCTCTTACGTACCCACCTCTCATCGCCAGACTCAGCCTGGTCGCCAACAATTCTGTTCTGTTCTCGCTCTCTCTCGCTCTCTCCCTCTCTTTCTCTTCGCCACACAGTCGGAGATAGACTTGCTGAAGAAGCTGCACCATGTGAATATTGTGAAATACCTGGGCTGGAACCAAACGAAGGAGCACCTGTTCATCATCCTCGAGTACGTCATCGAACACGAATCTCTTACAGCTCTCTACAGCAGTGTGCGCTGTGTGTGCCTTCTACACGGTGGTGCGTGCACAGCCCACTAAGCCCGGCGTGACACACCAGATATGTCGAAAACGGTTCGCTGGAGAACGTGTTGCGCAAGTTCGGCAAGTTCCCCGAGAGCCTGGTGGGCATCTACATCTCCCAGGTGCTCCAGGGACTCGTCTACCTCCACAACCAGGGTGTGATCCACCGAGACATCAAGGTATGCGTACACCCACCCTTCCCGCTGCGCCCGCGGTCTGGCACTTATGTCACTGGTGTGTCGTGTGTGTGTCGTGTGTGTGTCGTGTGCCGTGTGTGCGTGTTGTGTGTCTTTTCGTGCAATGGTTTGTGTGCAGGCGGCCAATATTCTCATCACCAAGCAAGGGTTGGTCAAGGTGGCGGACTTTGGCGTCTCCACGAAGCTGAACGAGGCCAACGACCTGGCCAACTCAACCGTTATGGGCAGTCCTTACTGGAGTACGCTCTCTCTCTCTCTCTCACACACACACTCGGTGGTCGCTTGGTTGCATGCAATCGCGCTGACGACGTGCTGTGGTCGTAGTGGCGCCCGAGATCATCGAATTGTCTGGTGTGTCGCCTCAGTCGGATATCTGGAGTGTGGGGTGCACCGTAATCGAGCTTCTCACCGGCGCCCCGCCCTATTTCGATCTGGACCCCATGCCGGCCCTCTTTCACATCGTCGAAGATGAATGGTACGCGCGCACAACACACACACATCACGCCACACGCGCGCATGCATGCATGGGTCCAGCGCAGCACACACTGCGCGGTGGATCTGATCGCTGACGTCATGCTGACCACCATTTTCTTTGTTGCTCCTTCCCCCTCCAGTCCGCCACTCCCCGAGGGCGTGTCGGCGGCTCTTCGCGACTTCTTGATGCAGTGCTTCCAGAAGGACCCCAACCTGCGCGTGTCGGCGGCGAAGCTGCTCAACCACCGGTGGGTCAAGGCCTCGGCGCAGCGCATGCAGCAGAAGGCGGCCGACTCTGCCGCGGCCGCCACCCCCATCGTGCCCGCCCTCCCCTCCGCCTCGTCCGACACCGCCGCTGCCTCCCCGGCCCCTGCAAGCAGCACGGCGGCGGCCGTCGTGCCCACCATCGAAATCGAACCGCCGACGCCCCTGTCGCTCGAGGGCAAGTTCGCGCCGCCGCCGTCGAGCAGGCCGCACGGCAAGACCACCGGGTCGTCGGGCTCGGTCACGAGTCGTCTGCCCTCCGACACGAACGGCAAGAAGAAGAGCGGGGCGCGATCACTGAGCGACGATGACATGGTGATGGCCGATGCCGAGCTGGAGCTCGAGCAACTGAGCAAGGAGAGGGGCGAGCGGATCCGCTTCGAGGCCAAGAGCAGCGGCAAGCACCGAACGCGCGCCAAGGAGGACCGGGACAGCAAGGACAAGGACCGCAAGCGAGACGACAAGAAGAGCGCCGGAAAGGACGATAAAAAGTATACCAGCTTGCACCACTGCACCACTGCACACGCACACACGCATGCAAGCCATGCAGCAGCTGCTAACGAGCTGGGCCTTGATGGGGTGGTTCTATCGCAGGGGCATGATCAAGGCGGTGAAGGACGCGAGAAAAACGTCAAAGAAGGCCAGCAAGTCGGCCACCTCCCCCGCGGTGCGCCTCATCCAGGAGGAATCGCGCAAGCACTCCCGCAGCAACTCGTCGTCCGACTCTGGACCAGGTTCCTCCCCCCGCCGCCGCCTTCTTATTCGCTCTACAAGCTCGTAGCTGAACAACCAAACAAACAACCAAACAACCAACAAAACAATCAAACAACAACGTACAGATGACAACAAGCAGGTCAAGAAGGAGCGATCATCGAAGCACAGGAAGCGAGATGAAGAGGATGAGAAGGACAAGGACAGAGAGAGGGAAAAGAAGAAGAACAAGAAGGAGCGCAAGGAGGAGTCGGCGACCAAGCGGTCCAGGGAGAAGGAGAAGGGCGAGCGGAAGAAGGGGGGCGAGGCCGCGGCCTCGGACGGCAAGTCCGAGCGCAAGAAGTCGCGGGACCGATCGGACCGGGAGAAGGAGAGGGAGCGCGATCGGCTGGACGGCCACAAGAAGCACTCGAAGAAGGAAAAGAAGGAAAAGAAAGAGAAAAAGGAAAGGCGGAGCGAAGACGGCGAGAGGGTGTCGCGGACCAAGAGCTCGCGCGGGCTCAGCGGCAAGAGCAAGTCGTCGCGCATCCTCAGCAAGGTGGCGCTCAAGAAAGACGACAAGGACCACAGTAATCACAAGGGTACGACGTCGTACCGCCGCGGCTGTTCTTTGGCCGCTTGGCGAGTGCAGCCGACTCACATTCCATTCGGTACGAGCGCAGAAAAACGGAAGAGCCAGAAGCGCATGTCCTTCGATCTCGGCGATGATGACCTCGTCGCCAAGCTACAAAACGTGCGCTCACACACACGCACACAAACACACACAACACACAACACACAACACACAACACACAACACACAACACACAACACACACACACACACATAAACACACACACACAATTGCGTGCGTTGATGATTGTTTATGCATAACAAACTCGGTGGTGGGGGAAACAGTTGGGTGGTGGGGCGCGTAAATCGCTGAAAGATTTTGCGGAGGACGACGAAGAGGACTGGGGCGACCTCGTGGCGCAGCTCAGCCCCGGGAAGGCGGGTAAGTCGACGACCAAGGGCGGACGCGCCGCGTCGCAGCTCGAGGAGGAAGAGGAGTGGGAGAAGGAGAGGAGCCTGGCCAGCCGCAGCAAGTCCACCATCGTCCGGCCCACACACCACAAGCTCAAGCGCCGGAGCACCGGGGTCAAGACCGACCTCACCAAAAAGTTTGCCGACACTGTCGACAACAACAGTGACGACGACGACGACGACTGGGGCGATCTCGCCGAGCAGCTCAACAAGAAGCCCTCGGGCGGCGGCGGCGCCACTACGGCCAAGGCCAACAACGAGGAGGAGGAGGACTGGGGCGATCTCGCCAAGCAGCTCAGCCCGTCCAAGGCCAGCACGCCGGCCAAGGCCAAGGCCAAGGGAGGGGACAAGAGCAGCGCCGTCCGCAAGCTGGGCAAGTTCGCCGAGGGCGACGATGACGACGACTGGGGCGATCTCGCCGTCCAGCTCAGCCCCGGACGTCGGCGCACCTCGAGCGCCGACCCGCCTCGTACGCCCTCTTCCGCGCCCTTCACTTTTGCTTCCCTTTACAGAGCGCCAACATCATCGTGTGTCGTGTCGTTGGTCGTGTCGTCGTGTCGTGTCGTTGGTCGTGTCGCCAGGCACGAAGCCGGTAGAAGAGGACGATGACGATGATTGGGGCGACATGGCGGCGAGCATGGAGACGCCGTCGCTGTCGACGTCTTCGTCGCGTTCGCAGCGACACGTGGAGGGCGACAACAACGACGGCGACGACTTTGGCGATCTGGCGAGCGAGGGCGGCGAGCTGGACCTGGCGGCCAAGCTGGCCCTCACCCGCAAGGCCCGCCAGGAGGGCGAATCCGTCCCGACCACCATCAGCGACGCCGAGGAAGACGAGGACGACCCCTTCGGCGACGAGTTCGATTGGAGCGAAAACGAGTCCGGTACGCTTTCGCTCTTGTCGCGTGTGCGCTGTGTGTCGTGTGTCGCTCACATGCGAACCGTGCTCGCGTGTGGCCATAGATATGGAGGTCGACCCGACCAAGGAGGAGCTGAGCAAGCTCACGGCCGAGATCATGCACAACATGTCCCTCCTGCAGCACGACCAGCTCGAGTCCGTCATCCTCGAGACCTGCGCCAAGCTGGTACCCACCCACCCACCGCCCACTCTCGCACCACGTCCCCTTGTCAGCTCACCCGCCCCCATTCCTTGGTCATCAGATCGAGGCCTACAAGACCATCAACGAGAAGTACATGAGCCAGAAGGCGACGGTGATCCGCCAGCACGGTGTGATCCCCATCCTCGAGATCATCGAGGCCGCCAGCGATTCCACCGCCCTGCGGATTCTTCAGCTCCTCAACCTGGTACCTCCACCGCACACGCACACGCACACGCACACACCGCACACGCGCCTTCTGTCATCGAGCTAGGCTTACCACCACCCGCCACCACCACAAGATCATCGAGGGCAATGTGGAGATCAAGCAGAACCTGTGCATGATGGGCGGTATTCCGACGATCATCAAGTTCGCCGACGAGGAGTACAGCAACGGCGTGCGGGGCGAGGTGGGCCGATTCGTGCGCGAGATGTGCTGCGGCCAGAGCGAGGTGACCCTTCGCATGTTCATCGCCTGCCGCGGCCTGCCCGTGCTCGCCTCCTACGCCGCCGCTAACTACCACGCCCGCCCGCTCCTCGTCTCCACCGCCGTCGACGCCGTGCGCCAGGTCTTCTCGGCCCACCAGGGCGGTACCCACACCCCACACCCACATTCCTTGCATTCTACCCACATTCCTCATCGTCGTCTCACATTCTTTTGCGCGTGCAGGCGGCTCGTTGCCGCGCAACGACTTCTGCCGGCTGTTTGCGCGCGCCGGGCTCCTGCCGTCGCTCACGTCGGCGCTGACGGCGCTGGCCAACTACAACGGCCTGATGGACCTCCCCTATGCCGCCATCACCGCCAGCCCGTCGACCCTCGACGCCGGCGTCTCCTTTGACATCGTCGAAGCCGGCGCCTGCGCTGGTTCGTTGTTCTCTTTCACCTGTGTGCGCGTGTCTCGTGTTGTGCGGCGTGTGCGGCGTGGCTGACTCGGTTTCATGGCTGCAGACAAGGTGGCGGACGTGCTGCTCATCTTTTCGGCGGCGGATCGGGTGGTGAAGCTCCAAATGGCGACCCACGTGGCGCCGCCGGTGATCGGGCTCCTGGCGCTGGTCTCCCCGCCCGCGCTGTCGGCCGCCCAGCCCGCCACCGCCGCCGGGTCCGTCATCTCGCCCGTCAAGTCCAGCGAGGACCTGGCCCACATCCTCGACAAGACCGACAAGGACGAGGCCTGGACCAAGTCCTTCCGGGCCGTGCTCCTGGGCAAGGTACAGCACTCGACCGCGTGTCGTGTCGTGTGTCGTGTGTGTGTCGTGTGTTGCGTTGCGTTGCGTGAATCGATTGGCACTGACATAGCACTGATCAATCGCTGTAACAGCTCCTCAAGATCATCAAGTCGCTGGCCATGGACTCGCGGACGCTGGCCGCCATCGCGTCGGCCGGGGCCATGCAGGCCTTCGTGTCCCTGCTCGACACGCACCACCTCATGAACGACCACTTCTCCGTACGCGCGCCCTCTCTACCATCGCCGCTCTGCCACTCACCCAATTTCAAAAACAACTACGAAACGAAAACGAAACGAAACGTGAAAATGCAGCAAATCGTGGCGTCGCTGTTCTATCTGTGCCGATTGGACCCGGGCCGGCAGGAGATGGCGGCCAAGGCCGGCGTGATTCCCCACCTGCAGAGCATCATCAACAGCAACAGCCCGCTCAAGCAGTTCGTGCTCCCCATCGTCTGCCAGATGGTACGCCCACGCGCCCGCTCTTCCGCGCCCAAACCCGCACCTTCTTCGACTCACCACACACAACACATCACACACGACACACGACACACGACACACGACACACGACACACGACACACACACACACACACACACACGACACACACATCACACGACACACACACAGGCGCACTCGAGGGGCGCGCGATCGTCGATGCGGGAGGTGGGCGGCGTGGGCTTCCTCATCCACCTCATCAAGCAGGAGAACCGGTCGTCGTGGCCCCACTCGCTCATGGAGTCCATCGCCGCGTGGCTCGCGGAGGAGATGGAGGTGATCGAGGTCGAGCTCGTGGCCGGGGTCGACACGCTCGTCCAGGCCTTTGCCGAGGCGCAGCCGGTCGGGCTCAGCGGCATGCTCGAGCCGCTGCTCAAGATGCTCGCCCTGTCGTCGTCCTTCACCCGGGCGCTGGCCAAGAGCGACGTGTTCGTGACGGCCATGCTCAACAAGCCGGCCCTCCACCACTCCAACGCGCTGGTGCGGGTCAACATTCTCAAGATTCTGTCGTCGCTGGTCATGGTCGCGCCCCACTCGACCCTGCTCGACCCCGAGCCGCTGCTCCCGCACGTCTCCTACCTGGCCTCGCACGACCCGTCCATCCTTGTACAGGAAATCGCCTCCAAGCTGCTCACCCTCTCCTCCTCCACCTCCTCGGCCTCCTCCTCGGCCGTCTCCTCCCGCTCCACCTCTCCCCACCCTTCACCCACCATCGGACGCTTCTCTTCCTCCTCTTCCTCTTCCTCTTCGTCTGCCTCTACAAATCGTCACCACTGATGTCTTAGAGAGCTGGATAGTATATTTATTCAACGGTTGTTTTCTTCTTTGTCAAGTGGTGTTGGTGGTGGTGAAGAGGTTTCACAAGTTTTGTTGTGTGAAGCACAAACTACTAATTATTGTTGGCGAAAATGAACTGAACAGCTGACGATGGTGGTGATGGTGGGTGGTGGTGGTTTGAGGCTCAAGCGGAGCGGAAGAGGGTGTTGACTTCGGCGATGAGGGAGGAGGCGAGGGTGCCGTTGTTGGACTTGATCTCGACGCTGAAGGAGGAGGGCGACTTGATCTTGGCGAGCACGATCACGTGGAGCTCCTGCAACGAGCGGCCGTAGAAGGACACCGCCGTCGGCGTGCGCTCGACCACCTCAACGTGGAGCGTGGTCTGCATGGCGATCAGCGACTGCACCAGGTCGTGGCCCTCGCTCAGCGTCACATTTGTCGACGCCGTCTGCAGCGACGGTCCGACCGTTCCCGAAGGGTCCAGGATGCCCATGAGGAAATCAGGGCTGAGCTTGATCGGCTGGATGAACGTCGACGGAGGGAACGTGAGCTCGAAGGGCGTGCACTTTGGCGTGGCCTCCGCCGCGCCCTGGTAGCACACGAGTGCGGGTGAGTGAGTCGGCTCGTGGCGGTGGTTCATGGGCGTGGCTTGGGGTGTAGAGAAGAAAGGTACCTTCAAGGTGTAGGAGAGGGAGCCCTTGACCTTCTGCGGCAGCACAAAGTTGGAGAGCGAGAAGATGAGCTGGTGCGGCACGGACTGGCTGGGGCCGAGGTCGGCGGCGAGCGAGAGGCCTGACACCAGCTTAGTCGACAGCGTGTCGATGGTGGTGAACGAGATGCCCGTGACAGTCTCCGTCGACGCCGTGTTGATCACGTTCAACGCCGCCATCGCCTGTCAAGCGATCATCTCCGTCAGCAGCCAGTCAAAGCTGATCACGTAATGTGGGGTGAGTCGGGTGTGGGGCTTGAGGCGCGAACCTTGTTGGGCTCGGAGGGATTGATCCTGAAGGTGTAGACCACACGCAGCGACCCATCGGAGACCAGGGTCGACACGGCCGGCGCCTGGGCAGCGGGAGCGGGAGCGGCGGCAGCAGCAGCCGCGGGAGCGCCGCGCTCGGACCTGTGGCCGTGCCTGTCGCTCCTGTGACGCCGGTCGTCGTGGTGGCGAGAAGAGCTCCTCTTGGTCTTGCTCTCCTCTTCGCTCGAGAGGGGCAACAGGCTGGCCGACTTGGCTGACTTGGACTCCTTGCCGTCGCCCCGCGACCTGTGCCTCCTCTCCCTAGAACACTCGCTCCGGTTACTAAGAGCACCCGCCAAAACGTGCGTGCCAATTCGGTGTGTGTGCGTGCGTGCGTGCGTGCGTGTTAGTGTGCGCACGTACTTTTCCTTCTTGGCCTTCTTGTCCTTCTCGTAGTCGGCGAAGATGTCCTTCTCCTTCTTGGACTTCTTGTCCTTTTCGCCCTTCCGGCTGCGGCTGCTGCTGCTGCCGGACTTGGCGTCGTCCTTGCGCCTGCGGTCGTCCTTGTCCTTCCTGTGGCGTCCGCCCGACTTGGACGCGTCCCTGCTGCTCCGCCTGCCGGCGCTCTCGGCGGCGACCAGCGGCGAGCCCGAGAGCTCGGGGAGCGACGAGTAGGAGCTGGACATCATCGGGGCCGGGGAGGCCGAGCCGCCCAGCGAGGGAGAGCCGATCTGCTCGTAGACCGGCGCGGGCGACGACAGGGAGGGCACCTGGTCCAGGAAGCTGAGGCCCGGGGAGGCGGGCGCGGAGGAGGCCACGGCGATCGCGGGCGACGACGGGGTCTTGCCGGGGCTCGACGGCGAGATGTCGATCAGGCGCGGCCCGGCCTCGTAGGAGCGGATGTGGGCCGGCTTCTCGCCCTTGGCGGTCGCCGACGAGGCCGACGTGGTCGACGAGCTGCGGCTGCGGCCCGACTTGTCGCTGGAGCGGCGCTCCTTGTCGTCGTGTCTGTGGCGGCCCTTGCGGTCCTTGCCGTCGCGGTCGCGGTGCTTGCCGTCCTTGTCGCGGTGCCGGCTGGACCGGTGCTTGCCGTCCCTGTCCTTCTTGGGCGGCTCCTCCTTCTTGGGGGCGGACATGACGATGCGGTGCTGCTGCACGGGCAGGTTCTCGTGGGCCTCCAGCGGACGAGTGAAATCGACGTCGGCGTAGATGCCGCCCTTCTTCTTCTTGCTGTCGTCGTCCTTGTCCGAGTTGCTGTCGTCCATGTCCTCCGGCATTTCGTAGCCCTGCAGTCATTCACATACCATGGTAAGACCCCGATCGCACTGGTTTCCCAGTGAACACCCGCGCGTGTACCTTGTTGATGACAGGCTTGCTGTGGCGACGCGAGCGCTTCTTCACCTTGCGCGAGAAGGGATCTGTGTGAAAAGAGCAGAACAGAAGAAGTGGGCGTCAGTCATTACTGTAGAAGTGGGAAAAAGAGAATGTAGAGTGAGCGGAGAGAGAGAGGTACCGTGGATGCCCAGGTCGGCGACGGAGGCCACCGGCGGCGGCTCGGCGTGCTCCTCGATGAAATCCTCGCGGGACGGGCGGCGGGCGTTCTCGCCGGTGAGGATGTAGGCCGACTGGGGCCTGTGCACCTTCTTGACCTCGCTCTCCCTGCCCTTCTCATGCTTGGGGAACCAGGAGCCCTCCTCGCGGTCGGAGCTCGACTCGCTCTCGCTCTCGGAGGACTCCGAGTCCTCGGACTCGGACTCGGGCACCTCGTTGATCTGCGCGTCGAGGTCGAGGCCCTCGGGCGGGCGGACCTTCTTCTGCGCCTTCGGGGCGACGGGGTTGAGCGGCTGCTCGAAAATCGAGTAGACCTCCTGCGCGACGGACGCGCCGCTGTCTTCGCCGGCCCTGCGCAGCTCGTTGTAGAGCGACACCATCTCGTATGCGAAGCAGGCCTGTGGCGACAATGATCAACATATGCGCTAGAAGAGGCGCTGAGGGAAGTGGTGCGGGTGGATTGATAGGAGAGGAGGAGGCAAGTACGCGCTCCTGGACTTCAAGGTGGACGGACTGCTTGAAGACGGGCAGGCGGGCCAGCATGGTGTTGACGAGCTGCTCGAGAGCCTCGGGGTCCAAGCTGTGAGCAGGCCGCCCGTGTCAGCAAAGTTTGCGAGTGTGCTCACCGAAAGGAAAGCGACCGAGCGAGCGAGAGAGAGAACCTGAACGTGCGATCACCGTCGTCGTCATCATTCTCATCGTCATCGGGAAGAGTGACGGGCTGGTAGGTGGCCTTCAGGGCCTGGGAAAAGATCTTGAGGATGTTCTGCATGTAAATGGCCTGAATCTCGGCGGGCAGCGAGACAACCCGCGGCTGCAGCAGGACCTCCATCAGCTCCACGAAGTTGCGCGAATACCTGGGAGGAAGAAGGGTGGGGGGGGGCAACGCATCAGCCAACGACACTACCACGTCACTCTACGACTCAGCGGCGTGAAGTTGGGGTTAGGGCAGAGGTGCGCACGAGGAGAATTCGCCGACGATCCAGGCGGCGGCGTAGAGGACCTCCTGGACGGAAGAGCCCTGGCCTTCGTTGAAGAGGGTCGAGTCACGCAGGAGCTGGATCATGTTCTTCACACCGTAAGACCTCACGACGTTCACGCGGATGATGACGTCCATGAACTGCGACGAGATCAACTTGCCTGTGCACGCGCAAGAGAGACCAGCCCGACTGTGCGTCAGTCGCCAATGTGTTGGTGTTCGCGTTGACGGGCGGACAAACGCAAACGTACCGTGCTTGGTTCCGGGGCCGATGAGGCGTACGAGGGTCATCAGCACGGTGATGTACCACTCGAAATCGGTCACGTAGTGGTAGCTGTCCTGGTTGCAGATGCTGATGATCTTCTCGATGAGGTTGTCCTTGTAGTGCCCGTCGGCCGTGTGGACGTGCTCGATGAGTTTCTTGATGATGTCACGGAGGTTCTTCTTGGTCACCATTCCCGTGAGCAGATCGAGAGCGCTGTTGGTGGTGGTGGTTACCCAAGGTCAGCGCTCGCCTCGTGAATAAATGAACGATGGGGCAGAGCAAGAGATCGCGTACCGCAGACGGATGGTGATGTCGGGATCCTCGAGGCACTTGATGATGAGGTCCCTGTGCTCCCCGACAGCCTTCGGGTGCACCTTCATGATGCTGTTGAGCGCGAGGAGGCCCAGATACTTGAGGTTCTGGTCGGGATCTTCGATGAAGGTGCGGAGCTTGGTGATGCACAGACGCATCAGCGGAATCTTGTGCGATAGACCGATGATGCAGGTCTGGATGCACTCGTAGAGAAGGGACATGGCCGTGGTGGTGTTGATGAGGTTGGTCAGCGGCTGCACCAGGCGCTTGGCCAGCCTCTTCTCCAGCGGAGTAAGCGCTCCAAACTGTGTGTAGAAAAGGGAGGTATGATTCATTAGAGGTGGACAACAGCTGCTCAGATGTAGAGCAGAGCAGAGTAAAGAAGAGAAAGAGTTGGGTAGCTACCAGCTTGATGATTTTGATGAGCATCCAGTTGTTCGTGGATGACTGGAGGATCTTGAACAGGGTGGGCGCCAGCGGGAGATAGTTCTTGGGGTTCTTGCGCGCCAGCTCGCAAATGACGTTCACCGCAGCCGAGATGACAGCTGTCAGTGGACGCGGGCGGAGGCATCACCAACGTTAGAATAGAGCACCACGCAAGGAAACTGTGGAGAGGGGGAGGTGCAGCGTACACTGGTCGGTGTCCTCGAGCCTGTCCTTGAGGCGAGGGAACGAGGGGCGAAGGGCCTCGGGGAACTTGAGGAAGATCTTGTAGAGCACCAAGATGCCCTTCTTTCTCAGGTAAGCACGGGACGAGTTGAGGATAGCGACGATGTCCGCCGCAAGATCGCGAGCCAGATCCGGCGTGCAGATGTTGGCAAGGCTGGAGAAAGAAAAAGAGTTGAGGGGAGAGACAAGCCTGAGAAAGACTGGCGGAGGGGACACGGTACCAATTGAGAGCAACGCCGGCCTCGTACTGATTGGGCACAGTGAGAGCCTGCGAGAAGCAGCGATTAGCCCGTGGAAGATGAGAGATGACCAGTCGTAGTGAGAATTACCTTCTTGAAGAGGGAGGTAGTGAGCATGACCACTTCAGTGCCTTCGTGGAAGGACTGAGAAGCGGCCAAGTAGCCGATGCGCTTGTTGGTGAAGGTGGGCTGCGACATCACCTCAACAATGTTGAAAGCAGCCCAGCTAATGTCATAGCCCAGCATTTGCAACTGTCCAAATTTCAATGTGCATTAGCACAAGCATTACTTTGAGTTGGGGGGGGGTGACACTTACGTAGGTGAGCTTCTGCACGGCGAGGGACTTCTTTTGGTGATTTTCCTCCTTGAGCTCTTCCTTGATCTCTTGAAGGCACTCCCGAATGTAGTTGGCCTCCTCTTTCTTGTGCGCCCTAATGCCCCGCACAAGGTCCTGCACATCCTTCTGGCCGCCCCACATGTCCGAGGTCGCCTTCGAGAAGGCCTGCAGATTTGCTGTTCCATTAAAATTGAATTGATTAGCCTCGCGCTCATAATCTCCAGCCATCCCTTCTCTCTCCCCTTACCTTGCGCCATGGTGTCTGCCTTGGCAATCAGCTCCTTTTAATGAATGGAATCGCAGCAGAAGTTTTCACACCGTTGCGGACTTCTGGTCGACAGAAACAGCTTTTTTGTCAGATTAAAAAAATAAATGAATTTGGCTTCATTGTTGTTTGTCAGCTGTACAGCGGCACCGTGAGCCTGATGAAGAGGGTGCGTCTCCTCCTCGCTCTGGCTTCTTGTTGATGTTGTGTTGGAGAGTTTGGCCACGCTCCTACAATTCCACCTTGAACTCGGGGTTGGGGTCGACCTTGCGCGGGAGGCCGTATGGTCGCTGCCCCAGCAGCGAGATCATGTCATCGGCCGATAGCACCTCCTTCGTGAGCAGCAACTTGGCCACCGACTGGCAATGCAGAACAAGCACACATCACAAGCGCGCGTGAGTGTCATCATCATCACCACCACCACCTCATCATCATATATGCTCCTGACGTGCTGGCCACCACATACCTCGAGCTGCGATTGCTTCTCGCGGAGGAGTTGTTCGGTGCGCTTGTAGGCGTTCATGATGACGCTGCGCACCTCCTGGTGGTGTGCGAAGGAATGTCGCGCGGGAGTGAGATAACTCTGGAGGCGAGGAGACTTGAGTACGGGGGGAGGGCGGGCACACGTACATCGTCAATGAGGCGGGCGGTGGCCTGCGAGTAGGGCTTGTCCACCTGAGGACGCTCGCCATCGCCTTCGGCAAAGGCAAAGGAAATGGTGCCCACCTCCTCGCTCATGCCATACCGCGAGACCTGTGAGTAGGCGAGCTTGGTGACCTGATGATTCGGCCAAGAAGCGATGAGTCACCCTACATGGTCGCCTCAATGAAGTGGGGAAGAAGGCGAGATTCACCTTCTGGAGGTCATCCTGTGCGCCGGTGGTGATCTTGCCGAAGATCAGCGACTCGGCCGCTCTGCCACCAAGCATCATGCACATACGATCCAACAGCTGCCAAGGCGCGCGCGTGTGAGTGATTGCCACAGCGTCCGCGATTAGAACGCATGGTACCTGCTCCTTGGTGTAGATGTTCTGCTCCTTGGGGAGATACTGGGCATAACCGAGGGCCGCAACGCCGCGGGGCACAATGGAGACCTTGAGCAAGGGGTCGGTGTGCTCCAGGAACCAACCGCAGATGGCGTGGCCCGCTTCGTGGTAGGCCACACGGGTTCGCTCCTCGCGAGACAAAATGCGGCTCTTCTTCTCGAGGCCGCCGATGATTCGCTCAATGGCCTTCTCGAAGTCGATCAGCTCAACAGCGGGCTTACGGTGCCGGGCGGCAACCAGGGCGGCTTCGTTGCAGACGTTCGCAATATCAGCGCCCGAGAACCCCTGACCATCAATGATGCACAACCCTTGGTGAGTTCAAAGCCACAGCGACGAACCCCTCGAGCGCGGGAAGACAGCGTGTCGTACGGGTGTCAGGACGGCAAGCTTGTCGCCGATGGTTCCCACGAGCTCCTCAGCGAGCTTCAGTGGCTTCAAATGGACGTTGAAGATGGCCTGACGCCCCTTGACGTCCGGCAGATCCACCGACACCTGCCGATCGAACCTTCCAGGACCTGGTGCGCCCGCTGACGTCAGCCAACTGTTGAACGGAGCGCGGGAGGTGTGCAAGGTAACACATACGCAGGAGAGCGTCGTCGAGAATATCCGGCCGGTTAGTGCCAGCGAGGACGACGATGTTCAGTGTGGGATTGAAGCCTGGAAGGAGGAAGGAGTAAATGACGGAGGTGGCATGAGTGAAACTGATGCGGAGCATGAGAGACAAAAAGCACTCTAGTGGAGAGGTGTAAAGGAAGCACTCACCGTCCATTTCGACGAGAAGCTGGTTGAGGGTGTTCTCGCGTTCGTCGTTGTAGCCCGACTTGGAGCGGGCGCGTCCGACGGCGTCGATCTCATCAATGAAGATGATGCAAGGCGCGTTCTTCCTCGCCGCGGCAAAGAGATCGCGCACACGCGAGGGACCCACGCCAACGAACATTTCGATGAAGTCCGATCCCGAGATGGAGAAGAACGGCACCTGTCAGCACCACAGGCACAGATCGTCAGCATCCACGATCTGCGAGCATGGGCTGTGCGAGCTCCCACAGTCCATAGACGCAATAAAGCCGCGCCACGTACTCCGGCTTCACCGGCCGTGGCCCGAGCCAGCAGGGTCTTGCCCGTGCCGGGCGGTCCCACGAGAAGTGCGCCCTTGGGGATCTTCGCGCCGAGCTGGCGGTACTTGTCGGGGTTCTTGAGGAACGCCACGAACTCCATGATCTCCTGCTTGGCCTCGTCGCAGCCCGCCACATCATTGAAGGTCGTGCCCACCTGCAGATGCGTGTAGGGAATGGCCATTTTAAAATGAAGGGTCGCCGTTGGTCGATGGTGGAAGACGATTAATAAAACAACCGCACCTTCATGTCCTTGGTGAAGAGGGTGGCCTTGTGCTTGCCCACCGAAAAGAGGCCGCCGCCCATCGAAGAGGCCGTCTTGCGCGAGACCCAGATGAGGGTGCCGATCAGCAGCAGCGTCGGCAGAGCCACGGCCAGGAGATCACCTCTGCACGAGGGAACAGCAACACCACCACAGGGTGAGTATGGCCAACACGCCAAACGCGCGGCGATCTATCAAAGGAGGGAGTAGCGCACGCAAGGTTCTCCTCGCGGACGTGGCGCACGCTCACAAAGTCGAACGGGTCGAGTCCCATGTTGCGCTGGGCCTCCTCCAGCTTGCGCTCAAAGTTGTGAAGGTCCCCGATGTTAAAGTAGAGGGTGGGGCGCACTTCGTTCTCCAGCGTTATCCTCGCCCGCTCGCCGTTCACGATCACAATCTCTCGCACCTGCAGCCCGATGGTACACATCACCACATGATGAGCCCACACGCCGCTCCTCAAACGGCATCCCACGCAGCAGGGGCCAGCGAGAGCGAACGGGAAAAAAGATGGACGTGCGCACCTTGCCGTTCTCGAGGTACTCAGTACGGAAAGTGTTGAAGTCGATCTCGTTGCCGTCGGAGGTGAAGGCGAGTAGGGTGGACATGGCGAGCGTGAGCCCGCCCATGACGGCGGACGCCACGAACAGAGGCGAGTTCCACACCTTGGGCGGCTCGCCCTCGGGTCCGCCGCGCTGGCCTCCGCCGCCAGGGTTGTTGTTCCCCTCATTCTCGGGCCGAGATGAAAATCGCCGCTTGGCTCCTCCCGTCGGCAGGCCCGTATTGCGTCCGCCAAGTGTATTGATTCGCTGTCCAACGCATGACCACCGCCACGCTGACGATTTGCTGGCCAGTTGTGGGGCAGAAGTACTAATGTAGGATGAATGCAGTGCCGCATTCCTGGAGAGCAGCTGCCTTGACCCGCCTCCCAGCTGCCCGGCAGAGCAACTCGCTCGCCCCGCCATCGACCACCCACTTCGTAGACGCAGCATCACTAGTCGAACCAAATGCGCCGAAGTGCGACCTCTGTCGCTTCAATCTTTCTCTGACGTAAGCCCCACGTCTGTATTTTTTTGGTTTTTTTCTGCTGAGGCCAAATCCAGAAGAAATCCAGATAAAGACAAAGAAAAAGCGGGAAAAGATTGTCGTTACGCATCTTTGATCGATTTTGTATCTGTGCAGAAAGATGGAGGCCCCGGAGGCACGATTGCACCGAGGGGCGGTAATGGTCGATGCAGCTTCATCGCCTTACCAGGCTCCACATCGGAATGGGGCGCAATCACAGCATCGTCCCTACCGGTCTTTGCACTACCACTCTCCGACCCTGCGACCCCAGCACACCCCGCCTGCCAGCAGCAGCACCCCAACCGACTTGTACTCTCTCCACATCCATAATCTTACATCGCGCAAGCAAGTTGTTCATTTTACTTTTTTCATTCCTGCAGTAGGATGAAGGGCCGAGAGGCGGCGTCGCCAAAGTCGCCAGCTCCATCACCACAACGTGCCGGACGTAACGTCTTCCGACTGCCGTCTCCATACGATGCCTCCAGCAGCGATGAAGAGGAGGAAGAAGAGGAAGAGGAGGAGGAGTATGAACATAACGGGCGCCGTGCAGAGCAATCACCCCGTACCGTGCCCTCTGGTGCCGCGTTTGTGGCGATGCCTGCGCGTGGTGCGTGTGGCCAATGCTTTGCTTCTTTCCTTGAAACAGAGACGCAAGAGGAGCGAGGTCGAGGGTCGCCGTACCGTCGCGATGACGCCGACACCCTCCTGCGCGAGCTCGAAAAGCGTCGCCGCGAAGAAGTCAAGGTTGGGCTCCTTCGTGCACCCCACTTGCTTCCGCTCACTCCCTCATATGATGATGCTCAGCCTCTCTCTCTCTCTCTCTCCCTCCTCTCTCTCTCTCTCACACACACGCACACATCTGCTTCGGAATTGTTAGCTGGCGGTCAAGGCCAACGTGCAGAGCTACGAGGAGGACGTGCGCAGGCTCACCGAGTCATTCGACGCGGCGCTCTCCACGCTCACCCAAGATCTCGGGTACGCCATGCGCGTCGTGCTGGCCGTTTCGTGTGATCGCATCGTTGTGTGCGTGCGTGCGTGCGTGCGTGCGCGCACACGGCATTAAGCGTCTCCCATGTTTGCTCATGTTCAACGCACCACCGCGATTCCCATCGGCAGACAGCAGACAGATCCCATGGCGGACTTCATCAGGGCCGAAAGCGAAAAGAGGTTCGTTTCGTGAACGCATGGGAGAAGACCCGGCTTCTTAGGGCACTAACCGCTGGTGTGGCTTGTCCAGGGCGCGCGCGGTGAAACAGCAGATGGAACGATATCTGCGCGAAGAGGAAGAGCGAACCAGGGAAGACAACCGAAGGCTTGCCGAATTCGCCCGGAGGAAGCAGGCGCTCGATGCCGCCAAGCAGCAAAAGTACCGCTTCCGCTTAGCTGTGCTTGTCGTTGGCTGCATCACATGCTAATGCGCGCGCGCGCGCGTGTGTGTGCGTGCGTGTGCGTAGAGCCGAGGAAGAGAAGCGAAGGGTTGAACAGGAGAGAGCAGAGCGGGAGAGGGCCGAGGCGGAGGCCAAGCGAATCGAGCGGGAGAAGGCGCAGGCGCAGGCGCAGGCCGAGGCCGAGGCCAAGCAAAGGGAGGAGCAAGCGCAGGCTCAGCAGAAGGAGGCCGAGAGCAAGGCGGCGGCCGACCGACAGGCGCGGCAGGCCTCAGCGGCTGCTGCCACCGCTACCGCAACTGCAGCAGCGGCGAAAACAAGCGGATCCGTACGTGCCCGCTGTGTGTGCTGTGTGTGCTGTGTGTGCTGTGTGTGCTGTGTGTGCTGCACCTGCATGACATGGTGACGACCCATCAGGATTCGGCGGTGTACAAGCAAAGCCTGGATCTGCTGAACGACATCAAAAACAAAACCGAGAGCGGGATCGACCCAGCGGTGCGCAGGCACGTGATGCAGAAGGCCCATCTCAACATCCAGCAGATCTCAGCCGACCGCGAGCAGGTCTTCTCCAAAATCAAGCTCCTCTCCGAGCTCATCCAGCAGTCCGCCTCGCAGGTAACCCGACCCGTCGCGCACTCGCTCGTCCCCTTCCTACCCGCCTGCTAACCCAAGCAAACTGGTCTCATTTCTGTGCAGAACGAGGCCACGAAACTGTTCTGTCTCGACCTCATTGCACAGAAGATCGTGCAGCAGGGCGACAGTCAGGTCCATGTGGCCCAGCTCGCCGCGTTCCCCATCGCCGACGTGGCGGTGGCGCTCTGCACTCTCGTGCCCGACCTCACCCGGATCCTCATCGCCAGGTACCTAGACCTCGCCCCCCCCCCGCGTGTCGTCATCCGACCTTTGCTCGCTCTCACACGCCCGCGCAGGTTCCATGAAAAGTGTTGCTTCACGATACCCTACTATGTGCCCAAGCTTCAGGGCATGAGCGACGAGGACCACCTGGTCGCCCTCGGGTATGATCTGGACTTGTGTGTGCGCGTGCCGTGTGCGGTCTGTGCCGTGGGCGCGGTTTATCATTATTGTTATTTATTTTATTGTTCGCTAGCTACCAGCGGAAAAGGAACACGCCGACGGGTTTCGAGACGGAGGAGGCCTTCTTTGAGAGGATGGCCGGCTTCGTCACCTTGTACGCCGCCATCATGCAGGCCGACCCTTTCCAAGGTACACTCACACTCACACACCTACCTCCCAGCTCAACCGCACGCGCACCATCGCACACGCCCTTGGTTTGGTCTTACACTCGCGCACAACGGCGCAGGAAAACCGCACCCGCACGGCATCGAACACGCGTGGGGCTGGATGGCGCGAACGCTCAACACGACGCCGCGAAGGATCACGGCCACGCTGGTGTACAAGTTTTTGCAGGTGGCGGGCCACGCCCTGGTGCGGCAGTACGGCCGGCAGTTCCTCAAGATGCTGCTCCTCCTCAAGACCCACACCCTGCCGGCCATGGCAAGCTCGGCCCGCGCCCACACCCCCTCCGTCACGCGCCTCCAGCTCTTCATCCAGGAGGCCGAGACCACCAACATGCGCAACCTCACCACCCCCGAAGGACGCAACTACTGACCTCATGTTGCATGGTGATGCGCATCGAAGAAGAGAAAACACAGTTAGCAAACAGCGGTGTGGTGTGTGTTGCATGTGTTCACAGAATATTGTATTGTTACTATTATGATTGTTACTATTTACGATATGTAGAGGTGTGGGCGGTTTAGGGGTAGACGGCGGCGTGGGCCTCCATCATGGCCCGGGAGAGGTCCTTGAGCTTGATGGGCTTCTCGAGGTAGCCGTCGAGCCCGGCCTGGATGCAGGCCTGCCGGGTGTCGTACTGGAGGTCGGCCGTGCAGGCGATGATGTAGGGCGGAGCCGAACCCGCACTTCGCGCCGTCCTCTTGATGATGCGGCTCGCCGTGATGCCGTCCATCTCGGGCATGTGCAGGTCCATGATCACCACGTCGTACCCGGCCTGGCCTGTGGCGCTTGCGCTCGCGGCGATGATGTCGACCGCCTGCCGGCCGTCGTTGGCCACCCGCACGTTGCTGTAGCCCAGGCGGGCAAGGAGCTTGAGCGCCACCTTCTGGTTGACGAGGTTGTCCTCGACCAGCAGTACTCGCATGTCGGTCGGCGACAGGCTGCCGTCGTTGACCACGTACGAGTGCCGTCGAATGGACTGCAGAGAAGGCGGGCCGCCGGGGCCGGTGCCGGTGCCCTCGCCCGCGTTGGTTGCGCAGGGCACGATGGGCCGCAGCCTGGCGGGGAACGAGTGCGAATAGCGCTTCAGTCGCGTGGGCGCCATCGGGAACGGAGGGAGCGCAGACGACCGCGACGACTCGCCCGGCGTCGTCTGTCGTGTCGGCGTCGCATCCCACGAAATCGAAGATAATGAAGATGACGAAGATGATGAAGTTGAAGAAGAACTAGAGGACGACGATGGTGATGATGACGATGATGACGACGATGACGCTGAGTGCGGGGGAGTGGACGCCCGGTGTCGATCAGGGTTGGGCTGCGGAGCCTCGTCCGGGGGTTCGAGGTTGTGGTGAAGGTGGTGGTGGTCTGGGGGGACCTTGACGCGGATGGTGAAGTAGAAGGTGGAGCCCTTGTGGGGCTGGCTCTCGAACCACATGCGGCCGCCCATGAGCTCGCACAGCCGGCGGGAGATGACCAGCCCGAGGCCGGTCCCGTCGTAGCGCCGCGTGGGCGACGAGTCCACCTGCGAGAAGGCGTGGAACAGCCGGTCCTGCTTCTCCTGCGGAATACCGATCCCCGTGTCCGCCACCTCGAACTGCAACTCAGCGTACTGCGCCACCACCGACCAAGTAGTCAGAACGATTCACGTGTCGACAATAGCGACGACGCGTCGATCTTTGGTGCGGTGAGGGGGGGGGGAAGGTACCCGCTCGGCGGAGGAAGAAGAGGAAGAATCGTGTGTGGGTGAGTTGAGTCGGACTCGGAGGTCGATGCTGCCTTGCGCTGTGAATTTAACAGAGTTGGAGAGAAGGTTGACCAGGACCTGTCGCACGTGAGGCTTGTCGCCGATCACCACCGGCGGCACCCTGCATAAGGCCACGCAGATGGATGTCAGCGGGCTCGTGGCGGTGGTGCCTTCCTTGATGGCGATGTGGGTGGTGGTATCTACCGGGAGTCGACATGTGTCGCGAGGGTCACCTTCTGGGTGCGCTTGGCAGTGTAGTTGCTCATGAGCTGCATCAACCCGAGCGTGCACTTGCGGACATCGAATGGGCATTCCTGTTTATATATGGCAATTTTTGAAAGTGATCGTCCCATGAGCACATGACGCCAAACGACATATGAGATGAGTGGAGACCTCCTTTATCGGGGGTGCGACGTACCAGGATCTCGGTCTTGCCGGCCTCGATCTTGGAGAAGTCGAGGATGTTGTTGAGCAGCGACAGCAGGGCCTTGGCCGACGACGAGATGATCCGCACGCACTCCCGCTGCTCCTGCGCCAGGGGCGACTCCTTGAGTACCTTGGTCATGCCGCAGATCGCGTTCATCGGCGTCCTGTCCAATCCACCACCATCATCGTCGCCCCAGACTCACATCAGAAGAAGACGAAGAAGAAGAAGATGAAGAAGAAGGTCGGACCTGATCTCGTGCGAGACGACGGCGAGGAACTCGGACTTGGCGCGGAGCCCCTCCTCGGCCTCCTCCTTGGCCTTGTTGAGGGCCTCGTTGCGGGTCGTCAGCTCTCGGCCCTTTTCCGCCTCTTTTAGCAGATGGGCGTGTGCCAGACCGATCTCCACTGCAGGCATCACCACCACCACCCATCGGTTCACGTTCATGTTCACATCAGCGTCGTCGCTCTCTCGGCCCACGCGGTGAGGGACGCACGGAAGGATGTGGTGGTGGTGGTGGTGGTGGTGGTGGTGGTGGTGGTGGTGGTGGTGGTGACACGGACCTTGGGCTCCCACCTCTTCGAGCAGGGCCGCGTCGTCGTGGTCCCACATGCGGGATGGCTTGACGGGGCTGCTGCTGGCGGACGAGGCCTGCGGGAGGAGCTGGTGCAGCACGATAACGGCGCAGGCCTGGTGCGAATGGGGCACGGCGACACAGAGCAGGCGCTGGACCCTCCGCCGGGCGTAGTAGTCAACGAGCTCCGGCGCCAGCTCTGCAGAGGCGCAGACGGTACAGGAAAAACCAAACCAAAAAACAGTGCGTGTGAGATTGGGTGTGATTGTGCTGCCAGTCAGCAGGTCTCCATTGATGGCAATTGCTCGATTCAAGGTTGCACATCACCGCTGATGTCCACAACCACTCACTTCCTTAAATGGACATAATTCAGAAATTATGAATGCAGTGCCAGATCTGGGGGGAGCACACCGGCCGGCGTACCTCCAACGGGAGCGGCTGCGAAGTCGAGAACGGTGGCCGTGCGGGCCTGAAACAGCAATCTGTGCGCCGAGATTGGTGGACACAGTCAAAACCACCCCCTTGTCGAACAAAAAGGCGCCAAAACAAGCAAAGAAACAAAGAAGGGGAACATACCCGGGAATGAGGTGTAAGGGAGGCGCCTTCTTGAGCATGTCGTTCCGCCCGCGCTGGCCCGGCGCTGGTCGAGCTCCGTCCTCAGCTTCCTTCAGGTCGTTTTCCGTGCGGCAGCGATTGACGGCGTCGGCGTCGTCGAGCGCGTCGTGGTCGTCGTCGTGCTGCGAATCAAAGGCGTCGTGGTTGGCGCGGTACTCGCTGAGGAGGGTGCACTTGAACGGCTGCTCGTCGCGGCCCGCTGATTGCTGCAGCCCTTCGTCCGTGGTGGGCCGCTCGCAGCAGTACACGCGGCACTCGTCGGAGCCGAAGAGCGCCGCGCACTGCTCGGTCGTCGCGTCGCAGATGTCCTTCATCTTCAGACTCTTGCGAATCTCGCGCGTCACCTTGCTCACAACCACCGTCCGCTTGTACTGCCCACACCCAACCACACAACCACCATCATCACCGCAAACCCAGTTCAAACATCATCAGCGGTCGACCCACACAACGCCACAAAGGAAGATCTGGAGCGGTGGCTTGCAGTGGTTAAGGTGGTGAAGGTGTTGAAGATGGTGAAGATGGTGAAGGCTTACTCGGGACTGGAGTCGGTGTTGGGCCGCCTTTCGTTGGCTGATTTCCATCTCGAGCCGATCAGAGGCCACCGGTTGGTGGGAAGCATTGAACATCACGGCAAGGCTCCGATACACAACGAGAGCTGTAGCCCAGCCCAGAAGCGCCGCCCATAACTCCCAGTCAACCATCTGCGGGTGACCAGATGAGTGTCACCAACCACAAGCCAGACAGACGAACGAGCACGGTCAGTTTTTAAGTCCGAGGTGACACACACAGGGCAGAAAGCGGAGACAGCGCACGCACCAGAGTGGCGGACGCGAACAGGGTCGCGGCGCCGACGGCGATGTAGATGCCCAGAGATAAGAAGAGCCACGGGTGGCCCGCGAACAGGTCCTGTCGCAGTGCACCCGCCGCAGTGTCAGACACAACCACTTCGTGGCGTTACGCGAAATTTGAGGGGAACTTTGGCCGCCGACAAGCCAAGACAAGTGCCCTGACAGTCGGGCAGATTGGGCAGGGGAATAGTTGGTGGTTTGGGGGGGGGTTGAAGTGCGGCACCTTGCGCTGGCAGAGAACGGCGAAGAGGGCCGAGGGGACCAGCAGGTGGGACAGGGAGAGGACCCCCTTGGCCACGCTGTCGACCATTACGTGCAACAGCGTGTCGTTGATCGTCGGCCCTTTCGTTGTTGGTTTGATTTGAGATGCAGAAGCTGCGAAGATCAGGTCTGCAGCGAGGGCGGTGTTGCGGGCGGAAGGTTCGGCAAGATGGGCACGGCGGCAATGGTGGTGGGAGGGGGGGGGTACCAGCATGGAACCAGGGCGAAAGTAGGACTCCGAGGGTGAAGGCGCTCCCCGCGACGAACACGGTGCGCATGGCGGTTGTTGGGCTGGTTACGGTCGACAGAATAGAATGCGGCGTGGAAAGTGGAGAGGGAGGGGCAAGCTGAGTCATCAATCGATCATGTTTCTTGTGTGCGTATGTTCCGAGAAGAACGCCTGGGTGTTGGGTTCCACACACCAGGCCTGGTGAACGAGCTGAGAAAATTGCTCGGCATTGAAGTTGCCCTTTTTAGGTCCGATTCAATATTTTTTCCCAGTCTCACGGTCTGGGTGCCAGTGTTTAGTTGGGGTAGTACCTTGCCCTAGGGCGCGGTGCGTGGAGTTGGAGATGGGGGTCTTGATTCAGGCCATCCCTCGTCGACTGTATGATTCGTTTCTTTCTTCGCTCTGGCGCTTCCATCTGGAAGAATGCGGGGCGAGCGACAGTGCTAGCGGCCTCAACTGCGGTGTGGGGGAATACTGTGACTCTCTTTACTCTGTGAAGTCTAGCGCCGCGCCCAAGGCCTTCGCTTTTTGAGGAAGAACGTTGTAACCCACGGCCTTGTGATTTGCACGAGCTCGCCAGCTTGTGTGCTGGCCCACGTCAGGCCAACGTCAGGCACCCAACGTTTCCAGCTTGCGGGTCAGTTGCGGATTGTAGAAAATGTCAGCTTAATCGACAGAAACATTTTTTACATTCCTAACCTAAGCGTTAGTCATCCGACACTCAAGCGGTAGTAAAGATGGTGGCATCGTGACCACAAGCCCTCGCGAAGAGGCCTTTCTGGCGGAAAGGGTGCCGAAGAGGGTGAAACTTCGCGACCCGATCAAAAGGTGTCGGCCGTTGGGCGCCAACAACGCCACTTGCGCTACGTGGTGGGTGAAGGCATGGCCAATGTATTGCCTCGCGCCAGTGCAGGTAACACTGGGCAGGCTCCTGCAACGCGGACGAGTCCGAGCTTGCTCACAAGCCGGTACGATCGGCTGCGCTTCGCCGGGGGAGGTTGTTGGTGGCCGCAGCCTCCAACACCCTGGCCAAGTCCTTGAACTTGATTGGCTGCAGCCAACAACGAAAGAGAGTGCTCGGGTGAGTAGGAAGATGCCAGGCACCGCGGCCTCGAGGTGACATGGAACGACAGGTTGCGTGAGGGTTGGTTGCGCGCGTGCACCTTTTCGAGGTAGTTGTCGATGCCCGCTTGGGCGCAAGCCGTGCGGGTGTCGTACTGGAGGTCGGCCGTGCAGGCGATGATGTAGGGCGCCTGGTCTCGCAGCTCCTGCTTGACCGTGCGACTCGCCGTTATGCCGTCCATCTCGGGCATGTGCAAGTCCTGCAGGCCAAGCGCGCAACAGAGACGTGAGGATTCGTGCCGGCCAGAAGTGAGGATTTGTGCAACGGTTGAGTGGAGGCCAGATCGTGTGACGGGCGGTCCGCTGTTCAACAGCCGCGGCTGGAGGTGTCATCATCCCTCGGCAGTGCGTACCATGAGCACGGCGTCAAACGGTTGGCCGTCGGGCTTGGCCCGCTGGGCTGTGATGCGCTCGACGGCCTGGCGGCCGTTGGCCACGGCCTCGACGTTGTAGTAGCCCAGGCGGCTGAGGAGCTTGAACGCCACCTTCTGGTTGACCAGGTTGTCCTCGGCCAGCAGAAGCCGCAGCGGCGAAGTCACCGGCACCGCGCCGAGCGTCTTCGGCCGGTAGAGCGAGGCCGAGATGCGCTCATCACCCGCCAAGTTGGCCCGGTGCTGGACATAGGGCGACGGAAGGGGAGACACGGGCCTGATATGGACCGGTACCGAGAGGGTGGTGTAGTCCAGCCGCAGGTACCGGGCCGGCGGTGTGAGCGCGTCGGCCGAAACAGACGTCTGTGGCTCTTCAGGTGGTCGCAGAAGCGGCGAGGCGGGAGCAGAGGAAGATGAGTAGACAGAAGAAGATGTGAAGGAAGAGGTGGAAGTTGAAGAAGAAGAAGATGATGATGATGAGCCGGCTGGCTCCCACCGACCCTGGGTCGGGGGAGTGAAGGTGTCGCTGGACCAGGCGTCGTCGGATTCGGGCTCCGAACCGGTGGTGGGCTCAGCTCCGTCCATCTGCTCGACCCGCACCCGCACGTTGCAGCCGAACGTGGAGCCCTTGTTCTCCTGACTCTGCACCCACATCGAGCCGCCCATCATCTCGCACAGCCGCATCGATATGGCCAGCCCCAACCCAGTGCCCTCGTACTTGCTGCACACCACCTAGTCAGCGCGTGCGTGCTACGGGCCACCCCACAATCGACCGTTGTGCGCGGGCACGTACCGCGTGAAGCCCGAGTCAACCTGGGAGAAGGGGTGGAACAGACAGTCCAGCTTCTCCTGCGGGATGCCGATGCCCGTGTCCGTGACCTCGAAGCTGATGTCCGCCATCTACGATAGACGCATGAGCGCAAGCGCATGTCAAGACCAGCAGAAGGGCGCACCGTGTGAGTGCATGGGGGAAGGGGTAAGTAGGTACCGATTCGTGAGTGTCGGGGTCGGTCCAGGTGGTCTTGAGGCTGGTGCGGAGCGTAACGCTGCCCGCTTGAGTGAACTTCAGGGCGTTTGAGAGCAAATTGATGAGCACTTGCCGCAGGTGCTGCTTGTCGCCCACCACCTTGCGCGGCACTCTGTTGTGTGCATCGAAGCAAGCGCTGCGCCTTCAGTATCTCTCCTTTTCGGAAGCCGAAAGAATCGATTGGGTGTGGAGCCGGGCACTGTACCGAGAGTCGGTGAGCGTGGACAGAGTGACCCGATCGTGTTTGCCGCCAGCGTAGTTGGCCATGAGGCTCATGATGTTCTGAATGCAGGCTCGAATGTCGAACGGGGTGTTGTTCTGTGCAGTACGGGGGATGTTTTAGCCGCAACGAGGAACGAGTGGATAATAGACGAGACGAAAAGAGAAGAGACAGGTACGTCGATCTCGGTCTTGCCGGCCTCGATCTTGGAGAAGTCGAGGATGTTGTTGAGCAGCGACAGCAGGGCCTTGGCCGACGACGAGATGATCCGCACGCACTCCCGCTGCTCGCTCGACATGTGCGAATCCTTGAGCACCTTGGTCATGCCGCAGATCGCGTTCATCGGCGTCCTGGCCGTCGTCGCCGTCATCATAATTGAGATCAGCCAGGTCCGCACCGCTTCCATGTGCGTGAGAGAAGCGATGGAGCAGGCGCGTACCGAATCTCGTGGGAGACAACGGCGAGGAACTGAGACTTGGCCTTGGATCCGGCCTCCGCCTCAGCTTTGGCTTGGGTGAGCTCTATGTTGAGGTTGGCCAGCTGACGACCACGCTCGGCCTCCTGCAGCAGATGCGCATGCGCCAGCCCGATCTCAACTGCGCTCACACGATTCGCCGGGCGTCAGTCAGTACGCATCAAGCCACAGTGCTGGTGGTGGCGACTAACCTTGGGCGCTGACCTCCTCCAGCTGCTCTATGTCTTCAGGGCTCCACCAGTGGCATCGGTCGGTGCTGGGAGTGCCCGCCGCAGGCTTGTTCTTGACCTGCAGCACGATCGCAGCACACGAGGTGGCGTGGTAGGGCAGCGCGATGCACATCACCCACGCCACGTCTCGCTCGCGGAAGTAGTTCACCAGCTCCTCGTCCACCACGTCCGTCCCGCTGCCGTCGTCCCGGTGCGTGAGCGCCAGGCCCTGCTCCACGTCGATCACCACCGCCCGGTGCTGACACATGAAACTGGTGCGCGCAGACATGTCAACAACGTTAGGAATTTGATGAACGTGCCCAGCGCGCTAGCCGGTCCGTACCCTGGCAGCAGATGCAGCGGCGGAGCGTGCCTCCGCTGTCGCGCGCGAACCATCTCCTCGTCAGTCGGCCCGAGTGCCCCATCCTCTTCCTGGGCTCGGCCGTAGTGCTTGGTGTGTTCGCTGAGCACCGAGTACCGGTGATCCTCCACCTCCTGCGGCGTGGTGCCTGCCGCCTCCTCTTGGCGGGGCTGCGCCGTGCAGTCCGCGCCCTGGCACTGACTGTCGCTCTCGTCCGTCGGCTGCTCCTCCGGCGGGGCGGGCTTGGGCGCCTTGCGCTTGTGCTGGTAGAGGGTGCAGTAGTCGGCGTTGAAGAGCTTAGCGCAGTGCTCGGCCGTGGCGCGGCAGATGGCGCCGAGCTCCAGGTTGCGCCGGATCTCGCGGGTCACCTGGTTGGTCACCACCGACCGCTCGTAGCGCGACTGCAGCTTGCCCTGCGCGGCCTTGCGCTCGTTGATCTCCAGCTCCAGCTGGATGGGCGACGGGATCAGCACCGCCAGCGGGACGATTATGTACACGGCGATCGCCGTGCCATAGCTCACGGCCGCCGTCACCATCTTCATCGCCACCATGACCCACTCCGACTGGATGTGAACCACGCGCTGGTGGTCAGTTTTATGGTGGCGCTGGACGTCAGCATGACGTGTGCGCGAGGCGTACAAAGGCCCACGGGCGGATGGCGGAGATGGCGTGGGTGAGGCCGCAGCAAACGATGAAGGCTCCAAACATCCACACGATCCACACGTAGGGGCCGATGTCCTGCGCGAGAGTGTGAGTGTCAATCATGTGAGCCGAGAGAGAGAGAAAGAGAAGGAGCGAAGCGCGTAGGGCGAGAACGTACCTTTCGCAAGAGCACGACGGCGAACATGGCGCCGGGGATGAAGAAGTATGAGAGGGCAATGAGCGCGTCCGACACGGACAGCAGGAAGATGACCACCTTGTCGGCTTTCATGGCTGCGCGAACGACACACAACAAGCCCCGACACACAACGGTTGTCAGTCAGCAATCGATGGCGCGCGCACACACACAGAGAAAGAGAAAAGCGAGATAAGTGGGTGGGCGAGAGGGTGAATGCGCACTGCTGTCCACGCCAACTACGAGACCGAAGAAGACGAACATGCACACCAGCACTGCTCCGCTGAGCAGGTACCCTAGGACGCGAGCCCTGGTAGCGCACTGTTAGCCTCGCCCGCGGGTGGTAGCCATGCACACACAACCATTGGCTCGCTGCCTGATTAACCAAAGCTGGTTCTCTGGACTTTTGCCAAACAAAGACACCTCGTCTGTGTGTGCGCCAACTGACCGATAACAAGAGTGACAGATGGCAATAAAATGGAAAAGATAAAGGATAAAGCAAAGATAAACCAAAATAAATAAATAAATCATAAGTCACGTACGTGGGCAGGCAGCGTGGCGCAGGCGCAGGCGTGCTCCGAGTGGGTTCCTCGCCGGCTTCGGTAGTTGGCCGTCGCTCGTTTTTGCCGTGCGACAGAACCTGACCGTCCACCATTGCCCGCATTTCGAAGTCGTCTCCCTTTTCCCCCTCCTCTTCGTACCTCCCCACCTCCTCCTCCCCTTCTCCATACGCCACCAGCAGGGGCAAACGGTCGGCCGACATCACCTTCCTCTCTCCACTCTTTCTCTCTCTCTTCTCTCACTCTCTCTGACCTGTGCTTCTGCTTCTGCTCCTGCTCTGCTGCGGCTTTGCGTCTCGTGGACGGTTTCAGTCGAGTGCCGACTGGCCCTGTGGGCGAACACTCTGCACTCGATCGCACCGCGGCCGGAAGAACGTCTTTATCTTATCTTTGCTGTCGACCTGCCAGATCACGGCCGCCGGTGATCTGGCTTTGGAGACCCGTGGGATTATGCTGTTTTTGGGCCTCCTGAGTGACTGAACCTCTTGACCTGGCTGACTTCGCTTTGGGGTGGCTCACTTTTTCTCATTTTGCGGCTATGTATGCACCTCCACGCGTCACAGAAAGGAAGATACGCGTCATGCTCTACTAATGGAAGAAAATGGATGTTCTATGCACGGAAGAATAGGCAAGGGCGCGAACTACAGTTTCTGTACACAGGAGGAGAGAAAGAGGAATGGAGGTCCGCTCGCGAGCGGCACCACCGCTCAACTGGTGTCCAGTATTTCGGGCAATGACAAAGAGTTAGTACGACTGACCACAAGCAACCGCGCAGTCGGATGGTTCTCTCTGGGTCGCTGATCATGTGTCAGTCGTCCAGAGCTCTCCTCGCCTGGTCGAGCCTCCCCCTCGAGAGCCCCCCTCCGCGCAGCCAGTGGCCGCGGCCTAAGCAAGACGTCGTTTGCGTTATCTGTCGGCATCCTCCTCTTCCGAACCCTTGGCGTCATTCTCGTCTTCTGAGCCACCATCCTTCTCGGCCCTTTCCGGGGAGGTTGAAGTGAGGTGCTGGATAAGCTCAGCGGCCTCTCCTTCTTCCATGGGGTCGGCAACGGAGGCTGCGGTGCCTCCACCGACATCGGAGCAACTGGCGTCGTCGCCATTCGTTCGGTCTTCGATCGTGGCAAGTTCGAGGTCGTTGTCCTGGCCATCGGCGTCGTCCAGGTCGTCCGGTTCCTGTCCAGCGCCAGAATGAGCGCAGCTAATGGTTTCTTGAGAGAGCAGGCAGCCCACGTACGTCCAACAGCGCCTGGTCCTTCTCGTCAACAACGTAGGGGTCCATTGCGTCGAGGCGTTCCTGTTACGTACCAGCGAGAAATCCAGGGTCAGCCGCACACGCACACGCACACGCGCACGCCCATGCACAGAGCGATACAGGGCACGAAGGGCGTACGTGAGTGAAGCCCGGGATGCGAGGGAGGAGCCACTTGCGGATGGGGACGGCCAGCGTGATGAAGACAGGGAAGGCGATGGCCGCGGGCGTGTCGCTGACGGTGATGCCCACCACGCCGCCGAGGAAGAGGAGCTGGAGGAGGGTGAAGGCAACGATCACCTTGAGCGGCACCGAGTAGAGGTAGGGCTCCTTTACCACCTTCTCCCGCTTCACGGGGTCCGCCACGAGCAGCAGGATTCGATCGAAGAACTGGTTGTTGCGGAACGACGCGAAGCCCATGTACAGGAACAGGCCCATCAGAACACCCCTGACCATATATACAGAAGAGGCTAAGTGTCTGAGGTGCAGGTGTGTGGGCGGCAAATCGGTGTGCATGCACCTGGGGATTCGCCCAACGGTTTCGAGCAGGTAGGGCGCCAGGACTATGCCGATCAGCGCGCTTTGCATTAGGGGCGACACTCTGATTTGTTCATCAAGAGGGCGGGGAATGGTTAGTGTTTCGCAGTACCACACTTGGAGAGAAGGCGGTAGGAGTGGGAGTGGGAGACAAAGGCTCCACCTGTTTTCGTAGACGTTGGTCCACACCTCCGTTCGCTTGGTGATGAGGACATCGCCCTTCTTGCGCTCCTCGTAGGTCTCCTTGATGGTGGCCAGGGAGTAGACGTGCAGCGGCGCCTGTGGGATCAGACCATTGGCAAAGGGCAGACCCAGCAGCGAACACATCACCACTGCGCACACGTTGATCGATTGTGAGTTCACACGCGTGCTGTGCCACACATTTCACATCACAGGAGGTGTAGCGAGAAGTGCAATGGATGGAAGCCAACCAGTGACGCCAAGGACAAAGAAGTCCCAGTGGTAGGCCGGCGGCTTCTTGAGGTGGAACTCGCGCTTCTGCGAGAGGAGCGACGAGACGTTGTGATCGAAGAAGAAGAGGATGGTGAGGATGATGCCGGGTCCTAGCGCCACAAAGACGCCCTTCGGGGACAGCTCCCAGAAGTGAACGAGCCTGCGCGAACGAGCCAACGAAACGAAACTGATGAGTCGTACTTGGGGCTGCAGCGCCTGCATGTCCTTGACGAGCTGTGGTGCGTACCATCCACGGCCGGTCGTGGTCTGGAACTGGTGAGGCACGTCGAGACGCGGCATGTTAGACTCCTCGAGCTTGCCCGCGTAGCTGAGCCCCGCGAAGATGACGATGGCGATGGCCATGGCGTAGTCCGCGATGATCTGCCTGATCGGCTTCACAAAGAGCGACCACTGCTTCACCCCGTCGAGCGTCATGGCTGGCGGTATGGGAGAAAGGAAAGCGGCCAGAGTTAATCATCGTTGTTGAGAATGAAGCGGCTGCAAGGGAAGGAATGGGGTGTTACCGACGTAGAAGGTGCCGAGGCCCACAAGAAGCGAGGCAAAGGCCGCGTCCGCCGGGTAGTCGTTGAAATAGTCGACAAAGCCGGTCACGGCGTCCTTGATGTAGATGATGGCGATCAGTACGCCAAAGGTCTCGCACGACAGCAGCGTCACCAGCTTCAACAGCCTACACGTGTTGGCCAAGGCCAACGCCCAGTGCATCAGCGCCGACCAAATGCCTGTTGTGGTGTGGTGTCGGTGGGTGATGATCAGTCCTGGAATGCAGAGAAACGATAAAAGAAGAAGAAGATGATGATGGTGATGAGTGCGCGCACCGATCCAGGCATAGAACTGGAGGAAGTCCAGGTCGAGGTCCTTGGCGATGGAGTAGATGGTGCGCGTGAAGATCACGATCGGGCCGGTCACGCCCAGGACCACCAGCGGCTGCCCACCCACCACGGCGAAGAGTACTCCGCACAGCGCGGTGGAGAACAGCGTCTCCACCACGCCGATCTGGTGCTCCGTGTCGTCCTGCATAGTTTGGCCTGGGACACGACACGCGCACGACACTCGTCAGGGCATGGCACGTGCATCAAGGAAGAAGGCCAAAAAGAAAAAGACAGAATGGAAGAAGATGAGAAGGAGGGGCGGACCGAAGGTGACTGCGGGGGCGGCAGAGGAGAAGAACATGAAGACGATGGAGGCCAAGACGCGAAAGTGAAGACCGTCAAGCCAGTCGCGGGGCCAAAGCGGCACTCGCTTCCGCAAGTCGCTCCTCATTCCACGCCCGAGCCACAACCCGCCCCTTCGCCAGCTGCACCATCTTTTGTTGTTGGGTCGGGCATCCTTGTCGGCAGCCTCGCCTCGCCGCACCTCACCCATCGCAGTGGCTGGACAACCCACTCGGAGTTGCCTTTTTTGTAATTATTTAAAGTTTTATTTAAATTTTATTCATTTTTTTTGATCATTCGTTGGTGCTATCTACAGCTTTGTCTCGGACGGTGGTTGTTGTTGTTGTTGCTTTGCGGAATCAGTCGGTTTGGGCGATGCAGGTGTTGACCACGTCCACGAGGTGGGCGTTCTCCAACGCGGCCGCTACTCGCTCCTTGTCGTTGAGCTGCTTGTTGACTGCACAAAGAGCTGATCAGCACAATGCAAGGGGCACACGCTTGGAAAGTGCAGCAAGGCGTACCAGCGTCTTCAGAGGCGTGCGAGCCAGGAGCAACGCGGATGTCCACCTGAAGTGCACAAATAAATGCATTTTAAATACGTGATAAATAGACAATCAAGCTGTAATGAGTAGAAAAACTTGTTGTGTGGTTGAGGTGGCACCTTGAAGCGAGAGGGCAGGGAGCGGAGAAGCTTGACCCTGATGCACAATCCGATGAGGGTGGCCATGGAGCAGTGTGGGATGGTTGGGGTGAAGCTGATGTTGATTTGGCTGTTGCTGTTATCGACCTGGATGAGATCGTGCTGGGTCACGTTGAGCTGCTCCAGTGTGAGTGGATGCTCAGGATCGTTGATTCGTCGGATGAGGTCGAAAATTTCAAGCGCATCGATCTCCTCGGACATCTCTTCATCATCGTCCGTCTCCGCGTATGGCCTTTGGTGCAGCACCTCCTTCACCGCGTACACCGTTGGGTTGGGATTGATAAGCTCACTCTCCATCTTCTGTGTTGTTCGTTTTACAAACTGAAAATAAAGATTCGCGGCTAAAAATAAAAATAAAAATAAAAATAAAAATTCTGCACGGACTTGGCTTGCGAGGCCGTCTCGGCCATCTTCTTCTCCTGTTCCAACGCCGCGTTCCGCCAGGCCAGCTCCTTGCTCTTGCGTTCCTCCTCAAAGGCACGCGCATGCGACAGGCCGATCTCGACTGGTGACGTTTAGGCCGCGTGTCAGCAGTCCTCGGGGAGGCGTGCGCAATGAATGGTTGGGCGGGTGGTGGAAGGTACCCTGTGCGCTGGCTTCCTGAAGGAGGAGCATGTCGTCCTCACGCCACACGCGGCCCACCGAAGAGTTGTACAACTGGAGGAGCATGATGGCAAACGTGCCGTCGTGGTATGGCACGCGAACGCACAGCATGGAACCGACATTGCGCGACGCAAAGTACTCCACGAAGCGTGCGTCCATCTCCACCTCTGCAACCGATCAATTGAGGCATCAGCATTCCGCCTTCAAGAGCGCATATGGAAGAACAACCTTCAGGTCCTTCAGGGCTGGCCACTTTCATCTGCGCGAAGTCGATGGCTGTTGCGATGGATCGCTTGCGAACTCTGACGAGTCAGGAGAGTACGTCAACAACACTGGGGCGGTGCCACGGTGCGAGTTGAGAGATGACTCTGCGTGCGCGTACCCTGGAATGAAGTGCAGCGGGGGCTTGTCCTCCTCCGTGCTTGGGGAGCAGAAGTTTTCCTCGGGCCGCACGTACTCACTCAGCCGATCAACCCACAGCGGATTCTGGCGTCGATGAGGGCGACATCGTCTGGTCTGTGACCTCCGCCTCGTTCTGGCACAGGTACATGGCACACCGATCGGCACCGAAGGCCTGGCCCAACTGGTTGGTGGTATTGGCGCAGATGTCCTCCACGCACAGGCTCTTGCGGATCTCGCGCGTCACCTGGCGCAACAACAGACTACGTTGGACCTGCATTGTCGGTGCGAGTGAGTGCGCGTGGTGAGAGGAAGAAGTGAGGCTAGTCTCACCTGGGAAGTGAGCAAGGTCTCCTGGTTCCGCCGCTCTTCGATCTCCTTGATGAACTGCGTCGGCGAAGGGGTGGCGAGCGCGATCGGAAGCAGCGAGTGGGCCACCAGCGCCGCCGCGCCGCAGGCCACCACCGTCAGGTGCCTCAGCACAGATCCATCGTGCAGCCACACCAACTGCTTGGCGGGGTCCAACCCCGAGGCACAGTGTACCAGGCCACAGCCCGCCAACGCCCCGGCTACCCAAGCACTGGTGATTGTGTTGGCGTCCTAGCAGCACACCAGGTAATCACCGGTGTGTTACCACCGGTTGTAACTGAGGTACTCGCGATCGGAGGAGGTCAGGACTTACTTCGGAGGTCAGGACTTACCTCGCGCGAGGAGGCGACGGTGAAGAGGGCATACGAAACGAGGAAAAACCTCCCAAGGCGTCTGTGAACGACCCCGCGAGCGCCCAGCCTACAGTAGGGTAAAAAGGGTGAGGAAAAATCGACAACAAGCAGGCAGGAGGGCAGGTACCAAAAGATGACTCGCCAATGCACCACGAGACCACAACATTGCGTGCGAACAGCGCCAAGAACACCGGTGCCCACACCAGCCGCTGTGCTCGTCTGCGGCCTGCAAATAAAAGGCGTAAATGCGATTTCTTTTTGTTTTCTCTTGTGCCTTCTTGGGGTTACCTTGACGACGTTGTTTTCGTCCCATATATATTAAATATTTGTCAGGGGAAATACTTGGATTTATGAAAGATGAACTTCTGCGAAAGCAAGGATGTCATTAATCAATAACGAAAGTTAGGGGATCGAAGACAATCAGATACTGTCGTAGGATGTTTTGCGCTTCGCTAAGAAGACTTTGAGGCCGAAAATGAGCGCCACCACAGCAGGAACGCCCAGGCTCTTCCAACCGAAGAATAAAGCTGCAGCTGCGGCGCCTAGGAGGAAGCCCAGTGGGACGCTCACGTTGAGTGTCTGGAGAGTGTCCGTGTTGGGCGTGCCGAACCGACTGCTCGGGGTGGGGCTGAGCAAGAGAGTCATGACGAGTGCGGCCACCGCGCCACCAATTGGGAGAAGGAGTGGGCCTAAGAAGTTCTTGAGCACGCCCGTCACTGATAACGCCCCCATGAAGCTCAATCCTCAGCTTCTTGGTAGGTTGTGGTCTGTGTGGGTAGGGAAGAAAAATAGGTGCTGATGTGGCGAACACAAGCATTTTATATGAAAATGTTCATTGGGTGATGAGTCATCAAAACACTTGAAGAATGGGGAGGCTGCTCACTGCACTTCAGCCCTCCTTTTGCAAGAGGTGGTGTCAGGTTGCTTGACAGGTGTGGAGCCTCATCAGAGGAGGACCCAGCTGTTGAAGAGGTTGACATGAGAGTTGAGGATTGATGCAGGACTGCCCTTCAGGTTGATGTGCACCATGGTGCCCCACACTGTGTTGTCTCCACCCAGCCCTGGGTGTTGAAATGGGCCACCATCACCACCTTGGCCCAAGCTGCAACACACATCACCATCATCAACATTAATGATCACATGAAGCTTTTTCAATGTAAAACTTGTTGCCATGGCTCTGGGAACCTCCTGAGGTTTTCACATTCTTTGTCTACTCCAACTATGTCAAAGTAGCATGATGGGCCATGGTAGCCCCAGTGCCAATGCAGATAGCCTACTTGTTGCTGGCCTTGTGTTGGGCATGGTGGATGAATCTGTTGAAGGAGATGCTGTGGCAGTTGTTGTCAACAATTCCCTGTCAGGTCACACTTCCACACTCATATGTTGTAAGGAGGCAGCAGGATGGTGAGGGGCTTGTTCCAGTTGCTAGCATACCAGGGTGGATAGTGTATCCCCCCATACACCAGCACCTCCTCCCACTCATCAGTACTACCAAAGATGATGCTATCCCCAGTGCCTGGTCAGTTCCTCTGGCATGTCAAACACCTCCACACACCACTCTTGGTCTTGTTGGTCCACATGAGAGTGTGCTGGAATTAAAAGAAGACAGTGGTGTTGGCAAGGACGAAAAGGGCAGCAAAAAGGCAGAGGATGAGCAAGTGGAAGCCTCTGGCCTTACCACACTGGTTTTTCCAGGGGTTTTATTTTGTCCTTTGTGACAAAAAGGAAGAGCTAATGCATCAAAGCAAGGCCTTCCCCTTGCTGTTCACCTTGCCTCAACTGGGTTTAGGGTTACCAACAGCTGTGTGTGTGGGCGAACGGTGATGATGACCGCAGCCGGAGCGAGGGCAAGTGAGTTGTGCCGCTGGCGAGCTTGAAGCTTCCATTTGCAATGGTACACCGTTGTGTGGTAGCAGAAGTACGTAAGAGAAGGCAAGAACTGGTATCTGCAGGTCTTCCGGTAGTGTTATGTGTTCGCCTTTTGGGGTGTTCATGGCCCTTGACGACCAACAACTTGCTCTCGAATTTCGCGTATTGCATTAAGGCACCACATAACGTCCCTCGGACCGGATCCCATCACGACCGCTATCGAACACCGCGCACGCGCCAGATAAGCAGGGCAGCCAGGAGGAGATATCCGATACCAATTGCGTACACGACCACATAGCTGGTTCGCCTGCCGTCCGTGAGGTGCCTGCGATTGAGTCAGTATTGTCAGGCCTGTTGCGCAGCTGGCAAAGAGGCAAGCGTGTTGCACGTACTCCTTGAAGTAGTCGAGAAGGAACCCGTTGACGGAGGTGGCGAGGATCTGCGCCAGGTTGGTGTTGTTGCTCATCATGCCCATATCCTTGGCGTTGCTGACGTCCTCATTCTTGTCGTTCTTCGACAGTACCCGCGAGTTGAGCGCCATCTGCGCTGACGTTGCCAGTCCTGTCCCACAGCCAGCCAGAAAGCCTGTACCAAGGGAAGATCGAAGGTAAGCAGTAAGTTTGCGTATCATCGTGTGAATGGTGCGTTTCAGTGTACCTCCTACGAGTGTGACCTCGTAGATGGTGGAGGAAGCGATGACGCCCACTCCCGCGGCGACCACCAAGGCGCCGAGGGTGTCGGTGAAGCGATAACCAAACCACCCGTCGATCAGCTTGCCCGAAAGCAGGCTGAAGAGCAGCGTCCCCACCACGTTGAAGCCCGTGTACACGGACATCGCTGTGCATGTGAATTCACCTTGCGGTTAGTGCACAACTCGTGCGAGAATTAGAGACCCAGAAGTGAACGTGCGTACCTGATTCTGCGTTGCTGATCGTGATGGCATTGAAGATGTGGTATGGCTGCGTAAATGCGTCCTGTATGAAAAGACAGAGCATGAAGCAGGTATGAGATTAAGACTGCACTGAAAGAAGGAGGCGAGGTGAAGAAGCACTTACGGCGTAGTAGAACTGCATGAAGTTGGAGAGCGTGTAGGAACCCGTCCAAAAGAAGCCCGTCGATAGCCAGGCCCACATGAAGTCGCCCATGAAGAAGGGAGTGAAGTAGCTGTAGCAGTACTTGCCCACGGCCAGCAGGGTGACCTTGATGACTCGCCCGAGGGTCCACGGTCGCTTGTGCTTTCGCTGTTCACCGTTGATGTTGGCATCAGCGCGTATGCCCGTCTCATCCACTTCTTTCGCGGGGAGTTTGTTGCGGTCGACAGTAGAGTCGGGCGAAAAGGCGATCAACATGGCCACACCTCCAAACATCACGCCCACGATCACGTAGGAGCACACCTCGTAGCTCGTCCTGCGCGCATGACATGTAGCCGGGTGAGCGAATATCACAGCAAGCAAAGGACAGGCAGAAGTGGTTACGCCGTCAGCAGAAAGCCCATCGACACTCCACCCGAGAAGCCGCCCAGCGAGTAAAACAGCATGGACCAGCCTGACAGTGTGAATCACGCACACGCACACGCACGAGATCAGTCAGCACGCGCGAGTAGGAAAGGTTGTAGCGTGTGCAAGCAGTTGGGTGAAAAACCTGACGCCATGCCTCGCTGATGGAGAGGCACGTTGTCCGGCATGAGCGAAAAGTAGGCCGGCAGGCCCATGTTGGCTCCTGCACCACGAAGGGGAGAGAGTGAGACCACTTCCGATTCCAGTGCAGCCCAGAAAGTAGAGCATCGTAGGCGTTACCAATGCCCAGCATGAGGTACGAGGCTACGAGGTCGGGTAGTCCCGTAGCATGGGGCAACCACAGCAAACCGCCACACGCCAGGGCCGCGCTCAACAGAATGTAGGGCTTGCGCTTCCCCTGAAGGGTACAGATGCAACGTACGCACAACGACTGGGAGTGAGCTTCAGGAAGAGCAAGAGCTCAGGAGTGCTCAGCAGCAGGGGACGCGAGTGTACGAAAGGTCCGCGAGTGTGGTCCGAGAGCATGCCCACGAACGGCACGATCAGCGTGTTGGCGCCAGCGGCTGATGACATGAGTATTCCCATCACACTGCACCAACAAATGATTAAAAATA